TACAAGTTATATGTTCCAAATGTAAGCGCAAGGTTGACTCAAAAAATACAATGTTATGCTCGCTATGCCGGAACAACTTCGAATTTGATTGCGTCGGATACTCGGAGAGACTATACCGCTTAAAGGATGCAGCAGCTAAAAAAAATTGGAAGTGCAAAGACTGTAGCCAAAAATCAAAAGGGACTTCGACACCTTACTCCGCCTTATCCCATGTAACCACAAGGAAAAATAAAACTGCAAAGAAATCTGACGAAAGCCCTTCTACTTCTAGTGCACTTTTTATGCCGACTGAGATCGAATCTTCAGGAATGGCGTCTGCGAGTATTTTATCGCAGCTGGACGAATCAGAAACAATGCAGGCAAGCATTACTCAACTGAATGCCTCACCAATAAATCAAATAGGCGACTCACAAGCATTAACTTCATCTCATAATTCGTACGAACCTGATGACTCACATGTGCTGACTACCTCCCGCGACCTGAGTGAGTCTGCGTATTCCTTTCATAAACCACTATCAAAAAGCTTAGACCACACTATAACAGACTCTATGGCAGTACAGGAAATGAAGGACACAATTAGCCGACTCCGAACGGAATATACCATACTACAGAACGAATTCGAAAACATAACATTAGAAAATAACGATCTCCGACAGAAAATAATCAAATTGACAAAGGAAAATAAGACGTTGACAGCCTTATGCCAATCTTCACATAACGTTAGCCAAACAATCCAGAGCGCCGAAAAAGGTAATAGACGTTCCAAACCACAGTCAGAAGTATCTTCTCCTCTCACTTCTCACTATCACACTGGTTTTATTTCTCCAGCATATAGAAAAACAGCTGGTACCAACAACATACCCGTGGCACTCCAACTAAAAATTAAAGACTTAGAGAAACAGCTTAAATATACTGAAAACCAGGTAATTTGTCTAAAACAATATATAAATACTCTGGAACAAAAATTGACATCAGCCTTGGACAACACACAAACGCCTTTACAGGCTAAATCCACGAGTTTAGTATGCGCTGATAAAGAAGATGATAAGAACCGGTTATACATCATAGGAACTCAACGCTGCGCCGGTCTCGCCACCGCCCTAATTCAGTCGCGAGCGAACACGCCATACGAGAAATACGTCATCACAGCAATAACAAAACCATATGCACCGTCCGCAGATTTTATCGTGAATATTCGAAACATAAATGTAAAACCGAAAGACAAAGTTATAATCTGCATTGGCGAAAACGACTATGATATTAATATACTATCATCACAGTTACGACGGTTTCTTAGATACTTTCCTAATAATGACACAATTGTATTAAATATATTAACAAATATATACCTAAGTGTTACTGACATAAATAAAACTATAAAGAGAATTTGTAATGGACATCAAAATTACCATTTCGTTGAATGTAAACACAGGAATCCTTTTCAATTATGTAATTCGATTAATTATTTGATAGATTGCATTAACTACGAAAATGAATATCTAAATCCCAAACAATTGAAAAAAATAATAGCACGTAGTAAGCCAGCGCCTGAAAAAGCTCTCTCTAAAGTGGTACAGTATTCAAAGGGAACAATCCCGTACTATTTTTCCAGGGCTCGATCGGGGGCTAATGCCTCTATTAGTGGATCTGATGCCAATAGGCAAACGCGTTTAACTCAAAGTACTTTACTGCATTTTTTTCCAAAAATAGATAAGCCTTTCTTTCGTGCCTCACAGTAAAAAAACTTTTAAAGTTTTGCACCAAAACATTGCGAGTGTCTTGGCAAAGCAGGAGTTACTAGAAATAACATTACAAGAACTTAAAAAGACGAATAATGATCCAGATCTTATATGTTTATCTGAAACTTTTCTGCGATCTGGTAGCGAGAAGTACCTAAATATTTATAACTATGAGTTAGCAACAGCCTTTTGTCGGGACAAACTGAGGGGAGGAACCTGTATCTTAGCCAAACAAAATAGTATCTACAAAGAAATGGAAAAACTAAAAACGTACGCATCACAAAAGAGCTTTGAGGTCTGCGGCATCGAGTTGCCTCTACATAAATTAGTGGTTGTATGTGTTTATAGAACACCTACATCTGATCCGAATGTTTTCTTAAACAAATTAGACCTACTATTGCACGACTTATTAAGAAACTGTAAGCCTGATACAAAAATGGTTTTGACGGGTAATTTTAACATCAATACGCTGAAACAGGGAAAAATAACAAATTACCTCCAAGATATTTGTCTAAGTCATAACTTAAAAATGCATATTAATGTACCAACACGCAAAAACTCGTGCATAGACCACATGCTAAGTAATATTATAGACGCTAACGCTACGGTACTACCTTTATACTTGTCCGACCACGATACAGCTCAGTTATTATGTATCCCTGTGCAAAAAAAAATTGAAAAACCAAAAACATACACAGTACTTAAAAAGGACTATAGTTGCGAAAATATTTTCAGATTCAAGGAATGCCTGAAAAGCATAACTTGGTCTGAGGTATACGCAGATATTAGTCTGAACTCTGCCTTCAATAACTTTCATGAACTACTGTGCATGTTTTATAATCTGTGTTTTCCTTTAATTAAAATTAAAGTTAGCACTCATAAGAACACACAAGATTGGATTAGCAAAGGTCTAAGAACAAGCTGTAAAACTAAACGGTCACTAAGATGTAATTATTATAAAAAAAAACAGCAAGCAATAAAATCAAATATATAAATTATTCGAAAGTATTAAAAAAATGTATTAATACCGCCAAAAGGATTTCACACATAAAATATATAAATAAAAGTAAAAACAAGTGTAAAGCGACATGGAATATAATAAAAAAGGAAATCAATGGCTTAAAATGTGACAATATCATAAATGCAATAAATTTAAACAAAAAACAGTTGACAAATCCTTTTGACATAGCCTCAGCTTTTAATGACCATTTTATTGAATTGACTAATACATATAATCTGACGACAAATAAGACACAAAAAACAACTACTAAGAGCAAAATTATACCAAACACGATGTTTCTTCTTCCAACTTCAAAAGAAGAAGTAAAAAAAGAAATTATGGGTTTGAACAACACCAATTCAGAAGGCTTCGACGGAATCAGTACAAGAATAATTAAAATGTGTACTGATGAACTAGTGCCTGTATTGACGTATTTAATTAATTTATCATTTTCATCTGGTACGTTTCCGGAAGCATTAAAACAATCAGTCGTCAAACCATTGTATAAGAGAGGTAAAAAAAAATGATGTCAACAATTATCGCCCGATTACTCTTATACCTGTTCTATCGAAGGTGTTCGAGAAATGCATGCACCTGAGAATACTTAATTATTGCAACACATACAACATCATTAATAAAGATCAATTCGGTTTCCAAAAAGAAAAGTCGACAACTCTAGCAATATTTACTCTTGTGCAAACAATACTCACAAAATTAAATAAAGGTTACCTAACAACAGGTCTATTTTTTGACTTGTCCAAGGCGTTTGATTTTGTAGACCACGAACTCTTATTAAATAAAATTGAAACGTTTGGAATAAGAGGACCTACACTACAGTGGCTATCATCCTACTTGAGGAATCGGTGTCAGTGCGTCACTGTTAATAAAATCATAAATAGCGAACTGATAACATGTTCTTCTACCCTAAAAAATAACACGTGTGGTATCCCTCAGGGAAGTGTGCTAGGTCCACTTATGTTTATATTATACATAAATGACATAACCAGAGTGACTGGTCATAAATGTATCTTGTTTGCAGATGACATATCAGTAATTGTGACATCAGATAAAAATAAATATAATTCAATACATGACCATGAAATTGAAATTAATAATACTATTGACAACGTTATTAAATGGCTAGAGGAAAATAATCTAAAATTAAATTTAAATAAATCAAATTTCATACATTTTAATAAACCCAAACATGTTAAACACAATTTTAACCTCAATATCGAAAAGATTAAAGAAATTACACATACCAAATTTTTAGGTGTAACGATAGACCAGGATCTAAACTGGAAATTACATATTGAGACCTTATGCAAGCGTATCAACAGCTTTGTTTATGCTCTTTATAAAACAAGGAGCGTAACTAACTTGCAAACAGCTATTACCACTTATCACGCGTATGTAGCCTCCATTCTACGTTATGGGGTGATGATATGGGGTAATAGTACTGAGAGACAAAGAGCATTTGTAGCGCAAAAAAAATGCATCAGAGCCATATGTGGGATTCCACCGGGCGAATCCTGTAGAGCATCTTTTTGGAGCCTGGGCTTACTTCCGTTGCCAGCACTATACATTTTTGAAATGAGTTGCTTTGTCAAAAGTCATACTGAGCTCTTCCAGAAAGCCAGAGATATAAACTCTAGATTGAAAAGAAATCCGGATAGATTAGTGTTAAGCGTCATTCCGAGATCTGCTAAATTCAGAAAAAGTTGTGTAGCAATGTGTGTTAAGATATATAATAAGATCCCCAATGACATTAAAAACCTTAAAATGAATTTATTTAAATCGAGACTATATAGGTGGCTTATTGAACTAAAAGTGTACGACATTAAAGAATTTATTGACCTTAGGCTTTAATAATTATTGATTTGTTAATATTAATTTTATGAATGTATTTGACCCTTTTTTTAAATAAATGTAACTTTAAATGTATATAACATAAACTTAAATTTGCATGCTAATTATAAGCAAAACATGTGTACTTATTTTACTGTACCACCTACAAATACCATGTTTTAAGCAAATAAAGAAATTATTATTATTATTATTATTATTTGTATCTAATTTGGACGGGACCGTACGAATAATGCAATATTCCTGGATTATAGTAATCAAACATTAATAAAATTGTCATGACATTAACTTTCAGTGTTAACCGTGATATCGCCGTTAGCAATAAGATCATGAACATTTAAGTAAACTTAACTAAAATTTTTAAGAGATTTAAGTCGAAAAATATCTGATTACAGGTGCTGGAAAATATGAACGAAATCACATACAGTAGCACGTGGAGTGAAGCCCAAGTGTTGCTTTTGGAGAATTCTGCATTTAAGAATGATGTTAGTTTATTAGGAATGGATAAAGAAGATGCACTTATAGGTACGTGAAAGACTTGTTGATGTTCGTGTCAATCTAAAATCGCTGTGGTATATCCCCTTTTGGAATACATAAATTTAATGAGAAAAAGAAACCTTCACAGAAATCAACACTTGTATTTTTTTTAACATTTATATTTATTTGAAATAGCATTCTTATAATTTTCATCACGCCCGTTTAGCGTATAGCGTTATCTAACAATGTAACAGTAACATAATTTTTTGTGAGGTAACAATACATTCACTCATTTTTTGTGATGAATGTGGAACATTGCAATTATTGCTAAATAGTCGGGTTAACAGTTGTACTGAGGTATTTATTTTAATTTATTTTATTTATTCTTTATTGCATACCTTAATCTAAAAGAATACAAAGGGTGGACTTAATGCCTTGTGGCATTCTCTACCAGTCAACCCATGGAGTGGTGAGAATTTGAAGTAGGTGTAGCAATATAGAATAAAAACAAAATAGAAATGATAATTAATTACGTTATATATACATTTTACTAATATATACAATAAATAAACTATAAAAATATATCCTATTTATACATGTATACAAATGTTGCTTTTGGAGATATACGTATATGTTGATGTTACAGTTTTTGAACAACACATACGAAATTTGGAGGCTGAATATTTACAAGAAAAGGAGCAGATCAAAAAAAGAAACAAACGACAGCAGAGAAAAAATAGAGACAACTTTTTGGTATGTAGTATTTTTTTTCATATAGATCAATTATGCTATTAAATGAATTGTATTTTTAGGTGGGTTTAGATTATGGAATATTTCCCAATAATATGACAAGAAATTATCAGCAAAATAATTCGTAAACTCTAATTTTGTATAGAATAAGGGTGACAAACTTGTACAGTTCACATCTATCTTCGATTAAAAATAAAAATGCAGATACATTGCCACCCGTGAGGACTACAATGGAATGCTTCGATCAAATAAAAAAAAAATCTCCGATTTTCTACACTCACGATACGAAACACAGCAGCATTGAGGTGTTATTTTATGCTGATATTCTGTGAGAACGTGGTTCTTTCGCGGTCGAACCGACCTATTCATGCTACAACCATAATACAGCTGCAGCATGGCTCTACCACGTAAAAACCCAAAGTTAGGACCAACAACAACAAATCACACAGGGTATTTGAGAACTGAGCTGTTTGATTTTCAGAACTCTAATATCCTGGATTCTGTTATTTGTGTTTGATGAAACATATTTCAGAATTAAAAGTTATTAAATCAGAAACAAACACTGAGACGCAATTCTCGCTGAACCATTATAGTTCTTTTCATCTACTGTAGGAATACATAGCGCAGATAGTGAAACTACTGTACTATACACATACTGTTGCCCATCGCGAAATCCTTCATTCTTTCCATCTGTTTGGTCACTTTGGACTGAACCTTCCTTCGCCCTCGAAAGAGGCAACCATTGCTAAAAATCCGTGAAAGCATCAAAAATCCGAGACAATTGAAGTACTGTGCTATAAGTATAATATGTTTATACCTATTATTATGCATAATGTATAGACAAGATCATTCATTTTTAACTGACTGTAATTATTATTGTATTCAATAGTTAAAAAAATATACTATTTGGTTTTTAAGTTTTCCCAGCAAAGAATAATTAAAGAGCCTTTTCGTATAGTTTGGAGATATATTGCGTAGTGAGCTAAACTAGTGCTGCTTCTTACATATTATGATGAAAATCATTGATCTCCTGAATGTTCAGTACTGATCTCGTTGTTGTTTATTTTCAGGCATTATTGGACAGTCTCCACGAAGAAGGCAAATTAACGTCAATGTCTTTGTGGGTAGAGCTTTACCCAGTGATCTCATCCGATATTCGATTCTCTGCTATGCTTGGTAATATTATGTGAATAATATAGATTACGTTAATATGTTACAATTTAAGCATTTCTAGTACCTACTAGTACAAAACTAGTCCTACGCTTAATACAATTTTAGACTATCTCCTTTTGCATATACTTAGGTATTTCCCAAGGCCTCGGCGAGCTCAAAGTTCTTATTAATACATCTGTGTAACATCAATGTTAAAAATAATTCAGCAATTTCATTTAAGACTGTTCTGTATTACGGTGTGTAGGTACAATAAAGTTACCAGACTCAATGTCTAGCAAGCGAAATCCCTTAAAGCGGGGAGAATTTTAGAAAAGACATTGCATCCAACCTTGAAGATATTATGGTTTTGGAAGGAAATAGTCCAGCCATGCGTTTGAACTCTTTGATTTTTTTTTTCATAAATATTTATTATGTACCCATATTTTGTAATCACCAAAAAAACTAGGTGCTCTCAGCGTCTGTTATTGATCACATTTAGGTAAAAAAACTTAAATAATAGTTAATAAAAAAAAAATATCTCATATAGTAGGAACAATAATAGGAGAGGATTGACTCCCAATTCGATCCATTCATAAATCGCTTGCTGTCTCGCTCACGCGCCGGCCGGCATTCTTTTTGTGAGCCGTTGAAGTAAGTGAGAGAATACATGTGAGAAAAGAGTTGCTACATAGGGTACTGTATTAATGGGAAGTGGATTTTTTATACGTGGTAGAACCATGCTGCAGCTATATATATTACTGGTATAGTTGTAGACGAATGGGTCGGCTTCACCGGGGAAGGACCACGCTCTCACAGAATACCAGCGTAAAATAGCAGCTAAACACTGCTGTGTTTCGTATGGTGAGTGTAGAGAACCGGAAACCCTTTTACTGGAAAAGAGGCATTCCATCTTAGTCCTCACGGGTGACAATGCAGCTGCATTTTGATCCGTAATCGAGGATAGATGTAGATGTCTATGGGCCACAGTAACCAATTACCATCAGTTGGACTGTGTGCTCATCTGTCACCCTTATGAAAAGATGGAACGGGAGCGTTTTATGAATGGAGTGCGTAAGTTATTGACTTGTGTAGTATTTAATAGTACTGTGACAATAAAATTATTCCAGTGCTTGGATAAAAAAAACCGCGATAAGATTGTGATAGATAAATAATAATAAATTCTGATAGTGCCATTCTTAATATTAGCATCAGCTGCTGCAACTGTCCTTAAATTTTTTAGTACTTACAAAATAGTGGTGTATATGTATTTAAAACATTAAGCTAAAATTTTAATGTGTCAAACATTATGTAATAAAAGTTGCTTGCAAAAAAAATTTTGAACCTGTTAACTGATAGATATCACTGTTGAAATCAATATTTGAAAGTATATTTGATCGCGTATAGGTCAGAGTGGATCAACGCCATTAGATCTGTTCAAGTTCTACGTGGAGAACTTAAAGGCGCGTTTCCATGACGAAAAGAAGGTGATAAAGGAAATACTGAAGGAGAAGGAGTTCGAAGTGAAACCCGACACTACTTTTGAAGAGTTCGCGACTATCGTATGTGAAGACAGCAAATCTGCGTCGTTGGATGCTGGCAATGTTAAGCTCACATATAACTCGCTATTAGAAAAGGTATGGTGCAAAATTATTTCATTTACCAAACAGCATGCTTAAATTTGTGTTGTACTTTAGTGTTAAGTGTATTGTTAAGATGTGGGGTTTTTAAATTTAATTTCGGTTACCTAGATATTCTTGGTTGTATGCCTTATCATCTCTGTCAATATCTTCGATTGTCCATTTTCTATATTTGAGATGTGAAAAATAATTTACGTGATCCATCCACTTATTTTCTTTTTTTTTATTAAAAACTCTTCACCATCATAATGAATTTACATTTTGCTTAGAATATAATATAAAATAATTTATAATAGCTTTGAACACGTCGGTTGATAAGTGTAGCCCGTCACCACTGAGAAATAAGATTGAATGCCAAGTTAGCAGAAAAAATATTCTCCGGCCCTTGTTACTCACCATACGACGAAACACAGCAACAATATGCGTGTATTTATAATAAGACTCTTTTTTGGTCATGCTGACTCATTTTTGCCGTAACCATGATCTATGGTGTGGTTCTGTGAATATTACTTAAATATTATCTTTTTATTTGAACAACCTACCAATATTAACATGATATCGGAGTGGAATGCGATCCCTCCCGACTCCCACGCCGCTTACCGCTCTCGTCATCGACGCATCAGTTCCCAACGTGTTTGGTGTTGATTAGTTTTTTTGTTATAATTTTAAGAGGTTTTTGTTTATTTGGTGGTTTTACAGTCCGTCTGATAAGAATTTCTAATCAAAATTAGACCAGGCAGACAAATGATAATTTTTCGTCCTTCAGATCTTGTGTGTTAAATTTTTGTCATAAGCCTAAATTCAATTTGTTGTATATCCTCCAAAATATAAAACTAGTTAGTGAATTCATCTGACATTTGCAGGCAGAGGCAAGGAATAGAGAGAAATTAAAAGAGGAGTCAAAAGCACAGAAGAAAATAGAGAGTGCATTTAAATGGGCACTTAGTGACGCAAATGTCGACCACCAGCTTTCTTGGAGTGAAGTCAAAGAGAAACTTGACTTAAGTGCTCCTGAATTTGCTGCAGTCCCTGACGAGGAAGATCGCATTAGGATATATAAGGTATTTGCGACAGTTTTGTTCAATCATTTGATAATATGTAAACCTTTAAAAAGCTTTAGTTTATCCCTTCTTCATCCGTCGTTCTTCTTTGACACAAATGTAATGTAAAATCCATTTAGGGAAACATCAGGTTTCATCCAAAGGAAAATAGGAACAAATGTTAGTTTTTTTTTATTTCAATAAAATCTTTATAATTATTAAGTATTTGCAAACACGGAAATGACTACGCTACGCAGGTACAATAAAGTATATACAATAGAGTAAACTTTTAATAATAATAACCGGCTAAGTGCGAGTCGGACTCACACATGAAGGGTTCTGTACCATTGTAAAACACGTTTCTAGTAGGGGGAACCCGCTTTAATTTTTAATTTATTTTTTTATTTATTGTTATAGCGGCAACAGAAATACACGTTCTGTGAATATTTCAATTATATACCTATTACGGATCATGAGATACAGCCCACTGACAGACGAACGGACAGTGGAGGTTTAGTAATAGGGTCCCTATTACTAAACCTCCACAGCCCTGCTGACGGGTCCGCCTTCTAACTGTAATTCGCTAGGTGGCGCGTGCTCCATTGTTAATAGGAGCACTCGTTATAATAATCTCTGAATAGAATTATCCGCGGTTCACAACTTCCCAAAATATTATACAAGGGCTGCACTAAAAGTATCGAGAATAGAATATTTCCACTGTTCCTGTCATATTAAAATCTTTTTAATTGAAAAGTCCTTGATTTTAAAAATCGAATACCATTTATTTATTTAAAAAAAGATTCTCGGTCTTGCCACAAGGTTTTATCAAACTTGTTTAGTCGTTGAGAAAATGGAATTGACTCGAGAAAATTCAAGAGCGATGATTTATTATAACTTTCGAAGTGGTTTAACACAAAAACAGTGTGTTGACCGGATGATTTGTGCATTTGGTGATGAAGCCCCATCCAAAACCACAATTTATCGCTGGTTTGCTGAATTTCAATGTGGACGTGTCAAGCTCAGTGATTATCCCCGTCAAGGTCGTCCAAAAACTGCAGTCACCCAAGAAAACGTTGATGCTGTGCGTAAGCTGATTGAGGAAGATCGACATGTGACATACCGCGAAATTCAGGCAACTCTAGACATTGGCATGAGTCAAATACAAATAATCTTGCATGAACAATTAGGTGTAAAAAAGTTGTTTTCCCAATGGATACCGCATTCGCTCTGTGAAGAGCAAAAAGCGGCTCGCGTTACTTGGTGCGTCAGAACTCTCGAAAGATTCCACGCAGGATCCTCAAATGCTGTATACAACATCGTATCAGGTGACGAATCCTGGATATACGCGTACGAACCCGAAACAAAAAACCAGTCACGAGTTTGGGTGTTCGAAAATGAGTTAAAGCCAACAAAAATTGTTCGTTCACGGAGTGTTGCAAAAAAAATGGTGGCCACGTTTGTCTCCAAAACCGGCCATGTTACGACTATTCCTCTTGAGGGACAAAGTACGGTTAATGCAGAATGGTATGCTAGCATTTGTTTGCCACAGGTCGTTTCTGAATTCCGTAAAGAGAACTGTAACCGCCGCATCATCCTCCATCACGACAATGCGAGTTCTCACACCGCACACAGAACAAAAGAGTTTTTAGAGCAAGAAAACATAGAATTATTAGACCATCCGCCGTACAGCCCCGACCTAAGCCCTAATGATTTCTATACTTTCCCTAAAATAAAGAATAAATTGCGTGGACAGAGATTTTCATCACATGAAAAAGCTGTGGACGCCTACAAAACGGCCATTTTGGAGACCCCAACTTCCGAATGGAATGGTTGCTTCAATGATTGGTTCCATCGTATGGAAAAATGTGTCAAATTTCGCGGAGAATACTTCGAAAAGCAATAAATACATTTTTAAATAGTAATGTTGTGTCATTTCCTTGATTCCCGAAATTTTCAGTGCCGCCCTCGTACTATACATATGTATGTTGCAAAGTATTCTATTGATGTACTTGATTCTAAACATTTACCTTGCTTATAATCCCACCGCTGTCACCATGTTGTGATTGCAATAATACACGTTCGTTAGCGAGACAACAACTGATTTATTATATGGCATAACTACCTACGTTTACAATAACACAAATACCCGCAACACTACTTGGTACTAAGTTTTAAAGTATCGATACCCAAAGTACTTGTTATAGAAAGAAAAGTATCGAGTAACTACTTGTATTTACTCATATTGTTCCATCTCTAACTCTGTGTAAGGGAAATAACCACACGCCGTCCGCTACCGCATTTTTTAAAGCAGAGTATTCGGCCGAGTACTCGGCCCAATCTAAGCAGAGTATCCGGTGGCCGAGTACTCGGCGAATCACTACTCGTTCCATGTCTATTGAGAACCTCCTTTTTTGACAATGCCAATCTTCCCTACAATTGGAGTGTCTAAGTTAAGCAGTTGACTTTAAAGGGCTTATGATGAGTGATATAAATGTTTCAGGACTTCCAGCATGAGCAGGAGGAAAGCTGCATGCATTACCATCATCCAAAAGCGTGCAAAACCAAGAAGTCTAAGAAAAAGAAACGCACGCGTTCGACATCTTTGGTAACTTTCTTATTTTAATTATAATCTATAAAATATTTATAATGAGGCATTAATGACCATAAGAGCACGTAGTAAATTTCACAGTACCCTTACACGAAAACCTGAGTTTGATTCCCGCTGCTAACAATGAAATTGTTAATTGTAATTTTACCGCGTGCTGCACGGTGACTGAAAACGTCCTGAAGTAATCTGCATGTCCGAGAAATGAAAAAAAATCAAAAACGTGAAGTCCGTCAACATGCATTGGTGTAGCATGTCGTGACACTTTCTTGCCCTAAAACCCTCTCAAAAATGAGAAGGAGTTTTGACCAAGTAGTTGAACGTATATAGACTGACTTTACTTTTAAATATTAATTGTAAAATCCTCATTTTATGGCAGCGCAGCGAAAGTAAATTCTATTCTCCATCTTCTTCCTTTTGAAACTCGGTTTCGAGAGACGATTAATGTATTTTTTGGTTGATATTTGACCTTCAATAGATGGCAGCATAAACGTCCATATGTACCAAACGTAAAAAGACCACAGCGTCATAGGTGCAGGATATCTATATGCACTGATACTTCCATGTTCCATATGCCCGCCGAGCTTGTTTACCAATATAACGTTTGACAAGTTTTAGGTGATTCCGCCAGCAAAAATGCAGCCTAATATTATTAATCTCGTATAACCCCGATGACCATCACCCCTTGAGGTTTTCTCAATAAGACGACGTTACTCTCAAAAACAAATACTGTGGAACCACAAGATTGTAACAAGTAGCTTTCTCTTTCATGTTTCCAAATATATTTCACAGATATAGGGTGGCTTTTATTAAAATTTAGGGCTGCCCTCCCTTCTATAAACCAGCGCCAGTACTTAGTATACCCTTACGAGGGTAAGGACGTGTTAGAACGAACTTGCGCCAACTAAAACTCGATTGTATTCTATCTTGGCTGTATATCGGACAGATCACAGGCGTTAGGTGCATATTGAAAGTTTCTCCTCGGGAAAGAACAATTAACCACTATTTCTCAAAAAAAAAAATACAAAATTTTCACAGACATATAAATGCACGTTTTACGTGTCTAATAATCGCGAATGTTGTGATAAGCCTTCTGTACTTAATATTCTAGGTCACTCGCAAAAATAAGTACAGAAAGCTCGCGCAGCGCATCACTACAACACGTCAATTAGAATAAATAAATAAAAATATGTTTTCAGGCAGTTTAATACAGTTAAAATTTCTCGACCACTTTTGCTATTAGATACATACGTATGTATTTGGTATATGATGTAATTTACTGTTGGACTGCCTTGTTTCTCTAGTAGTCGTTAGCGCGAATGCTGTTCACGTGCTCCCGAGTCGGGACAAAACCAGTTATTCGAATCTATCAAAAAATTCTCATTACCAGACTAGCCATCTGTTATGTGGATCCCTCTGTACATAATTACATTATGTACAGAGGCTACATACCTATCTAACCTATTATTAAATATGATATTAATAGGTTGTATAGATTGTATATTTCTTATCACATTACTTTCCATACGTCCAGGATTGACAGAGAGAATGCCAATAGGCATTAGGTCCGCCCTTTATAATCCTTTTATTAAGGTATACAATAAGGTGTCAGTAAATGAAATAATAAATCAATTATTGGAGCCGTCGGGTATTCGGAGAGTTTTATTGTTGTGTACTGTTTGTGGTGGAGAAGTCGCGGTCGGGGTCGGCGTCGCGGTCCGCGTCGCCGGACAGCGCCAGCTGGAGCTCGGACGAGCGCCGCCACCGCAGGAACAAGAAGAAGCACCGCAAGCACGACCCGCCGCCGGTACTCGCCACTATTTAAGCTATATAATATTTAAGTACACTGTATCTAAGTAAGTAACCCGTGTGGTTAAACAATGGGATTAAAAATAGCGGTGACTCTATTAACCTCTCGCTCGCACACTTTCGCTATCTATACTCACATCCGCCGGTAAACACTGCAAAAACTACGTTACGATATGCGTTTTTCGTTCGTTCTATAACTTCAGTCCAACTTGTCATTGGAATCGATGATAACAAAATAACATAAACTATAAAAAAAATCAGTCCCGTTTAACTAATTTGTGAGCCACGACGCATTCTGAGAGTTTTCTTTATAATTATTGTTGATTTGTTTGTTAATATTTTTGTATTTTTTGTACGAGTAACAATTTAGAAAAAATGTTTGCCTGTCTGTCCGAGTTTATCTTCGCAATGGCGTAACTGATTGTAATAAAACTTCACGAACAAATAGGGAGTAATACCAGGAGTGATCTCTACTAAATTTTATTCGAAATATTTAGACATTTTATTAAAATAGAAATATTAATAAGATAAAATAAATGGTCTAGTAGATCCCACCCAAGCGAAGACAAAGCGTGCCACTAGTTATAAATGTTATTTTAAAATAAAATTAATTTACGTACTTGCGTATAAAATTATCCTCGAACATTTTCCCATAATTACAAAATTTCCAATTAACCGAATAATATAACGTTGTAACTATATACCGTTATCAGCCGGTTTTCGCTATTGTTACTGTGCATCCTGACGGTACGGGTCCAATGAGCCGCCTCTTCTAATCCCATTCTTTATCCGTACGGACTATAATATGTACTACAGACACCGCGTCTGTAGTGTGATCTATGCGTCAGTGCAGAGCTCGTGGTCGGAGCACAAAGTACTTTTTTATGGCACAGACTAAGTATTAAAGTTGTTAGAAGTTAATTTGCTTATTTCCGCGTAATGAAATAAAATTACGTCTTGTCTAGTTTGAAGAGCACCTGCTGTCCTCCCTCAATTACGTGATTTGAAACCTGACTTAACCCTTTTAATCGGCAGCAGCCCTGACTCCGGCACCGCCACACGGTGTGGTATCTTCCAGCGGCGTCACCTCGATGTCACTCAAAGTCTAGCGTCCCTTAGCACAAATCTATAATCTAATACGAACGCTGTTTCACGCGAGTCATAAGTTTAGCGTTTTTAACCGACACAGGAAAATATCTCCGAGTTACATCAAATGCCACAAAGCAACTCGTCGACGCAAATTAATATTGTCAAGCGCTTCAACCGGCAATCACTATACAATTTACGTAAATTATTTGCCAACGAATTTAAGTTAATCGTTCAAAATATTACGGCTTCGTTATCGCGTGAACGCGCTAAAGATAACCAAACATTAGAAGCGAAAAACTCCAATAGTAAATTCTACGCGTCCTTTTGACCGGCAGTTGTTCACACTTCACTATTTCAGTCTATCCACTTTATTATACATATAATTAACTTCAAAGTCAACCAATTCAACGTTCATCGAAATCAAACACGTGACACACGGCCCAACTAATGAACGGGCGATCAAGTTTCAACTTCCATTTTCACCCAGCAAAAGATTATAATCGCGCACACGCGGTTCTAATAACTCCCCTTTTTAGCGCGACTTCACAGTTCAACGGAGTAGCACAACACAAGTAACGAACCGTCGTTCAAGGTTCAATATTCAATGTTCCGGGTTTACTCGCACGATATCAAAATGCCACGAAGCAAATCGTCGAATCAAATTAATGTCGATCAAGGTTAAGTTAATAATTCAAACTCAATGCAAGCCGTCCGTCGCGCAACAATATTGGTAATCAGTTACTTTAATCACTCAAAACACAAATTAGGCCTCTTGTCACATAACACTTAAATAGACACTCAATTCGAGGCGGTATTAAAGATACCCAAATCTTCGATAGTAATTAGGCGCGCACCATACTCAAATTCGGACGTTGATCGCAATCAATGTTAACTTCCCAAACAATTAACCGACCCAGCGTCCGCGCAGAGAATCTATTTTCCTAGATTCAACAAACTCTTCGTCGTTGCATAAATTTGCTAACAAAACCGACACGATATAGAGGTTATACGGTACACGACCACGCCGTTCTAGTGACTGCGCTGCATTCACTTCCGACGCGCCCTGCTCGCAACCAATCCGATCTCGCACGAACGTCAACCGGTAGGAAATCACCGTACTGCGCGCCCCCTGGCGTCAATTCTTGAAATTAGAGTTTGGCGCGAACAAGCATAAATGGTTCGGTTAAGGGGTAGGATAACACTCTCACGGAATACCAGCGTGAAAGCGCAGCCTAACGCTACTGTGTTTCGTATGGCGAGTGTAGAGAACCGGAGACCCTTTTTAATAGAAACAAGGCATTCCATCTTAGTTGTCAGGGGTGACAACGAATCTGCATTTTCATTCTTAATCCAGGATGAATGTAGATGTCTCTGGGCCGCAGAATCCACTTACCATCAGGTGGACTTCTATAAAAAAAATCACCGCACTACACGGGCACGCTTGTGCGGCGGATTGCGATCGCACTACTAGACGTTTCGCATCTGTGATGCCGTTTCCGTCGCTGGTCAGTGTATTTTACACGTGGCGTTAATGACATGATTTTACCGCCATCTATCGGATGCCTCAGGACTCTTTGGCATATACTATAGTCGCCTTTTACGACACCCACGGGAGGAAATGGATCGAGTAGAATGAATACTATTTTTTAAATTACGATTATCCTGTAAGTTATTTTATTTTAGTTGTTGTTTCTTTATACTTTTTATAATTTGTTTCTGATAACTCATTTAGTTATTTATATTTTATTCATCTATTAAGTTAAGCCGGGTAAGAGTAAAGACAAATCGAATGAAAGCGAGCGTAGGCAAGCGAATGAGATTCGCCGATGGACACCGAACACTTGCCCGGCTTCGTAGTTTTACCCACATGAAGTGAAGTTTTACGCTCAGCGAACGACAGCGAACCTCCGCCCCTATTATGAATATTAGAAATCTAAAGTTTAAAATTGCTTGTCTACAGAAGCTGAAGTATTTTTGAAGATACCTATTTATTTTTCTTCGTCATATTTACGACACTAATACCGAGAACTCTTTTGGGAAGTTATGTCTAAACGATATTTGTTTTTTAGCTTATGCTTCAAAGCATTCGGATTTTTAAAATAAGTTAAAATAAAACTTAATGTGTGTAAACATCCAATTTTCATAAATGATCAAAGTTATATAATTAAAATATTTTCCTTAGAAATCACCTTCACCAGAAGAGGGTGGCATATCTGAGGAGGAACCGTCGCGGCACAAGAGCAAGAAATCAAAGCGCAGTGCGCCCAGCAGCGGCGACGAACACGAGCATGCGCACAAGCCTAAGAAGAAGAAGGACAAAAAGGAAAAGAAAGATAAGTAAGTAAACACAGCAAAAACTTGTACACCCGATCTTACGTTCCGAATATTTATAATCATCATTGCCGAAGTTTCCATAATCATCATTGTCAGATGTCAAAGCTCATGTTAATGTTAATGTTAGTGTGCGAAAGAAATAGACATACATTGTAAATGTACATACATTCGAAAAATATTACCCTCCATCTGGGGGCAGTCGGGTAAAAAAGAAGTTTTGTTCAAAATATTATTAACATAGTAATTTTTTACAGAAACATAAAACACTTCAAATAAATGCTTAAAAATAACCAGAAATTTTAATATCATAACTCCTTTAATATATGAATAATTAGCGACCCGCCCTGCACTGAAGAGACCATTCATTTTATCAATTTTACGAAGTCTTAAAAATCCCCAAGTTTTTCGTATAAAATATAGCCTAAGTCACAGACAGACGAACATTTTAAAATAATTGTACATTCATTAATGTATGCAAATAACACCCTCAATATAAATAAATGATAAATATTAATAAATGGCAGTTAATTCGATATCACAGGCCACAGACAGACACCTTAATTTTTTATGAGTGGATTGGACACTTGAAGGACTATCTCGGTTTAAAACTTATTTATATTATGCATCGGTCTCCTTAAAAATTAAGTTATAGTCTTTATGTGACGTAGCTTTGAACTTTCAAAAAGTGCCATTTTAAGACCTAGCTTGAAATGGCACTTTTTGAAAGTTCAAAGCTACGTCATTGCTTTAACAAGTGCCAGCGGGAGACTTCTGAAGACTGAAGAAGCAGCAACAAACTCACAATTATATTATTTTTCCCTGTTCCAATAGTTACAAGTTAAACTTCTAAAATATATAATATACACAAGTCAAGAAAGCCTAAGAAAGCTTATATACAATAACCTTTTTTCATTAGGGAGCTTTTTGCTTGCGTCTTGAATTTATGCAATATCAACTTGTTAATATTACAGAAATCTTGTTATAAATAGTTAAAAATGAGCTGCTAGATGGAGTAAGTGTCTGGTAAGACATGCAGGAAGTCGATGGATGCAGGTGAATTATAGAAAAAAAAAAGAGTTCTGAATTAAATTTAAATCGATTTATTATTTTAGTGTTATTATTTCTTTTTTCTATAGTTTTATTAATTATTAGTCATAATATAATTAGAACTTTTTTAGGTTGAGGTGGATTAGGATTAGTTTCTTATTGTTTAATAATTTATTATCAAAATATTAAATCTTATAATGCTGGTTGTTTAGGCCCAAAAAAGGTAATTTGTACGACATCCAATCACGTTCGACTTCGTGAGTCGGTGTAGGTGTTTGAAAGAGGTCGTCGGTCTTCTGTCCAGTACAGGACTTGTTAAGGTGCTGCGATGCCCAGAAGGAGCATCCAGTGGAGGTTGACCCTCCTGCTTGCCCACATTGGGGCTGCCTTTTGAGGTGGTGGCTAGGGTTGCAAGATCTGATGTGGTGACGGGGTGCCTAAGGTGGCCTAGTTTTGGTCGTAGATTCGGTCTTGCAACGTGCCGTCGCGACCCTGTCCCGCTTGCCGGTTTGCTCGCGGACATAAGTCCTTATGTCCGGGACGGGGGTTTGTTTAGGCCCAAAAAAGGTAATTTGTACGACATCCAATCACGTTCGACTTCGTGAGTCGCCCGATGGCACCAGGTGTCACGCGCATCGCGGGGAGGGGTTAGCGGTAGGCAGCTTCCCAGCGTGTGACGCTCGTGGGAGAGAGTTTAGTAGCTCGAGAGGCGGCGGTGCAGATAATCCGCGTATCTCGATTATCGCTGCAGAGGTGTCGCGTCGCGTGACTTCGCTGCGTAATTGCGTTTCGTGAAAAGCGCCACGTTTTAGGTTGTCTAGGGTTTAAGTTCTGGACAAGAGGCTTGTATTGTTTAACTGATTAAAGTAACTTCTTTGAAAGTAATTGTGCCGTCGCGTTAAGTGCCCTTTTTTGTGTGTTGACTGTTTGGTTAGTTTTACGTGTCAACGAGGCGTATTTTGAATTCTTACCGTGGCGTAGTATTGATATCGAACGAAGGAATTTAGTTGTGTTTGTAACGCTGAACCGGGTGACTTACCAAGAGATCGCGTTAGTCCACTATTCGTCATTTGGTGATAATGAATTCGGGACATTGAATGTTGAACTTTGAATTACTGTCCGTTACTGTGTCGAGTGTCACGGGTTCGATTCTACGATGAATGTGGAATTAGGCCAGTTTAAGTTAGTTAAATGTACAATGAAGTTAATAGACTGAAATAGTGCCATGAAGAAAGAAATGGTCCAGCGGGGAAGTCTACTAGAGTGGTGCAGCATTGTGGTGCAGCCTGTAAATCGGCCGCTGCAGGTCACCTCAGCTGGTCCAGGTCTCAGACACCTACACCACACTAAATACTACTTTCCATGCACCTTACACCCACCTACGGCTTGACCGAGCCTTGGGGCGATCTTAGCTTCGGATACAGGTACGTACTATATTTTTCTAGCCTTCTCCCTTCAGTTTAGTATTATAGGACATTCTACCATATGGCCATTTGAGCCCGACCCGCGTCTGCCCGTCGCGCAGGCTGCTATGGGCCCCAGCCTCGGCGACCTTTGCAGGGGCAGCTGCGGGCCGTAACACTGGTATATTAACTGCTTTATCTAATCGAATTGGAGATCTAATAATTTTAATAGTAATGCATTCTTTAGGGGGCATTGGACTTGTGAAAGGCGGTAACGGTGATGAATGATAATGATGATGATAATGAGCTGCTAGTTTTATGAAGCATATACAATAAAGTTATGAACGTCGCTCATTTTATATTAGTAATTAAAATATTTTCTAAAATTAACCCATATAAGTCCCTCGGTCTTGTATTTTATATGACACGAATGGCTCTATTTTGTTGTATAAAATTATTTTCAACATCAACTGCCCATCAATCAAATTTAAGTCATTTCCTTTTATTGGCATTCAGAAGGTAAGTTACGTGGTAGAGCCATGCTGCAGCTATATTGGCAGTATAGTTGTAGCACGAGTGTGTCGGCTCGACCGGGGAAGGACCACGCCCTCACAGAATACCAGCATAAAATTTAACGCTGCTGTGTTTCGTATGGTGAGTGTAGAGAACCGGAGACCCCGAGGCATTCCTTCTTAGTCTTCACGGGTGACAACGCATCTGATTTGGATTCGTATTCGAGGATAGATGTAGATGTCTATGGGCCACAGCAACCAATTACCATCAGGTGGACTGTATGCTCGCTTGTCACCCTAATACTATAAAAAAGACACAATTCTATCATACAAAAGCGAAAATACCTATGCTATAATAGTCTGCAAAATTTTAATAATAATCTCAGACGTTAGCTGCAAGCAGAAATACACCTTCTGTACGCGTACCGGGAGTTGAGAATGCTTTGCCCACTGCGCGACCTTCGTATGGCTGCGTCATCTAGCAAACGTACTAGAGTTTCACGAAGATGATAAAATAAATAATAGATTAGAAATAATGAAATAATTATTTTATTTGTCTTCTAATCAAATATGTTAGAGTTTTATAAAATGATAAATGGCTTTATTCCCTTCTCTGAACTCTCTGTTATTAAGGTGAAACATACGGTCTGTTCCCGGCCATATTCCCGCGAGATGGCGCTAAAGTCATAATTTTTTAGTTTATTTGGGTTTATGTGTAATTGGAACATTATTAAGTCGTAGAAGTAGCAATTGCGATACTCGGACATTATACTTTATTTTACTAGGTCATATCATTGCCTCAAAATCCACACAATTCAACACAAAGTTCAAAAATAACATCTGTCATTGAATATAGTGTCGTTTACACACACTGACGTGGGTGAATTCTTAGTCCCTACATTTACGAAAATTGAACACTAGATGGCGTGAATGAAAAGAAATGTTTTCCTTTATTCTGTATGGGTAGGCAGAACTACAGAACGCCACCTGCTAGGATATATATTTAGCCTTTTTCCCCAACTATATTGGGGTCGGCTCCCAGTCAAACCGGATTCAACTGAATACCAGTATTTTACGATTATGTTATAAAATAAAAGTTATATTTGTAAAATGAGCAGTGGTAACTCAGATGGTTAGCACTCGCTGTAAGTTTCACAGTATGCAAGAAACCCGGTTTCGATCCCATGCATGCCATTTGTATTTCAGAATTATTTAGTCATAAAATTAATATTTATCTTTATTAGAAGTAGTTTGAAATCACGAAAAGTTGTATTGAATTTTCACAACATTTTCCTAATATTTTCCACCCTTGGTCATACGAAGAGTGCATGCCAATTTTCGTAGAGTATTTTTTGAGATAAAAAAAAAACTAATTTTTTACAACGGTATGCAATTTGTAAACACGGAAGTGTTCTATTTTTTTTTTTCATTTCTACGTAACCCTTTGAGCCCCGTCGGCCGTTGCGAATTGCATGCCATCAATTATTATAGCTTAAATTTGTTCCAACTACGTTATATTATTACAAAGGCATGCAATATAATGTCACGGAAAAATACTAAAATTCTTTACACAAAGAGAAGCCATTTTCTTTATGACGTGCAAGCGCGCAAGGGCTCGTAACCCCTCTTATGCCTCTTACCCTTTAGGGTTAGTTATCAATTCTTAAAAAGGCATGCAGGAGAAAATGGGAGACTATTTTCTGTCACCATCTCCCGATCTATATAGAATGTTTAAATTTTATTACAGTCAAACAAGACAAGGAAATTTGGCATCGCTTTTTCTTCATGCATCTAGTTCAAGGTTAGGAACGGTATCGTTGCATAACATACGAATAATGGTATTTGTTGGACAACAATATCGTCTGCACACCATCTAGCGTACCAATGTTTAAACTATGTTTTGGCGCTTTTGCTTGTCAAGTTGTCAAAATTCACTCACACTACTAAAGAAATGTCAAAATTTTCCTAGATTTCACTATTGTTTTTCTTAATAAATACTGTAAGTTATTTCCTAATAAGGTCAATTGCGAGCTCATATCAGTATAGAAAAGTGATAAAATGATTAGTTTTAAACAAATAGTGTCTGTGTTTAACGTATATTTCAAAACAAAAATGTATGGCGCGACTATCGGAGGATTCCCCTTAAACTTAATAGTTGAAAATATTCTGAATCTAGTAAATAATTTTAATAATTATTCATATGGAAAGCAAGAGTAAAGTGAAGGAAAAATCAGTCAATTTCAACATTTCGTAAATTGTACAATCAATGGCAATTCAAAATATAACAAATTTTAATTTGTTATCTGACTCTTACACCCGTCCACTGCACAATAATTTGGTGATTTCGAAATTTGTCTTTAAATTAACGCAGAATACCTATCGTGCGAGCGCTCAGGTGAGTGTGCGGCACTCCACTGATACTTGTACTAGCGATGGGTCGTCGACGTGTTCTGCGTTAACGAAACTAGACCGGCCAATTTCGTTCATCGACTAGAAGATCAACTAGTTAAATTTGCCGACTAGTTTACGCGTCAACTTGGTTTTGGCGACGGCGTCTATGGCTCGACATACTTACTACGTTATTAACGAGAGACATGTGGACGATAAATCTGACACCTTCTTGGAGACAGATGGTCGCCCTCCCGTTGATAGAACAAGTTGCCAGATTCGAGGATTACCATGTCCTCCCCCTCTCTTCGGACCTCAGATAATCCTGTAATATCCCAGCGCAACTTGTTTATCTCTTCTTCTAGCTCCAGGATCTTCTCGTCAGTCCTCAGGGTTCGCGTGTTATATGTTGCCAGGTCGAGTTGTCGTAGGTGGCAACCGAACCTCCACCCGAGATTCTCAGCACCCCTGCCCCGCCGTCACCATGGTCGCCGCCGTAGCCAAGAATAACGGGGCCGCTGGGGACTGGGGGCCGTTTATTTGTGTCGTTGTACATGGGGGTATATTGCCATAGTTGCCACGCTTGGCGAGCGGGTTGGCAACAGTAGTTTTTTTTATTGTAATTTGCTGTTATCAGAAAGGTGCTGCTGCCCATCTTCTGTCTCAGTTTCCCTCTGTCGCCTCCTATGACACCCACGGGAAGATATGGGGTATTCTTACCCGACACTACACGGGGGTGGGGGAACGTGGATTTATTTTTGTGAAATTCAAGAGCTACATGGTTTGATCATGTAAAAATAATGAACGAGGAAAGAGTGACAAAGCAAATTTATGTTGCAGGCGTGAACGACAGATTCGGGAAGGAATGCCCTAGACGAAATTTTATCAACAGAAAGGGCGATATATTGAAGATGTTTGCGTAGATATACGGATGTAAAGGAGGCGAGAGAGGTGTGTCAGGATCGTGCCAAATGGAAGTCTGTAGTCTCTGCCTACCCCTCTGGGTGACAGGCTTGAGTTATGTTTATGTGTTTCAAGAGCTATAATTTTCAGGGATCGTTTTGAATATTATAATCCTCTAGTGAAATATATAGTCGTAATGTGTACATTCAAAATGTACTTATGTTAGACTCCAAACACCGTATAGTATGTAAGCACGCCAATCAGAAAGTTTTACAAAACTAACAGAAGTTTTATTTTTTAATTTTTTATACTTTAAATAGGCCGTTACGTGAACCGATGAATGAAAAATCTCCCATAGTTTCTATACAAAGTTTTATTCGTCTATACCAATTTACCAGTCCCCCGAGACACCCCTTCTACAACCTACTCGAAAGCTGCTAGCGCATCTTCCGACGATGAATACTGTATCTCTTTCAGCAGATTTTTTCATTTTAGGAAATAAAAAGAAGTCACACTTTGCCAAACCTTAGCTGTAAGAAGGGTGACCCAAGGCTTAATCTCACGGCTTGAGCATTGCCATGGTGAAGCAGTAGCCTGCGTAGCCCTGCGTTAGACGCTTGTTGGTCACATCACATACCATTCGGCATTGATGATATGTTGAAGTAAAAAAAAACAACTAGTGATCAAAATGTTACTTGCGCTTCTCGATCGCTTTGGTAGGCGTTCTTTCATTTTGAAACCGTTTAGCTTAACTAGCGTTTCGTTTCTGGATAGTTTTTAAAAATTTAATATTCATCACGTGTAATAATGTCGTAAACACGCAGTGTCGATATTGCTTCAAATTTAGAAATCAAGTAAGGAAGGAAACACCATTCCATGCAGACATGCTTCTGTGCATCGGTGAGGTTGTGCGGGAACCCAACACGAGAGGGAAACAAACGCGAAAAAAACTTTTCTGTTAAAATTTTGTGTGACAGTTTCGTTTTGCCGTCATACGGTCATACAGACATAAGCCCAGTTGTAGAAATTTGCAAAACCTTTTTACTTATTAAGAGCTACTACCATTTTAATCAAATTAATAAAATAATACTTTTTTATTGTTAAAAGTATTTTCATGTCATCATAATGTATGATAGAGTAGCATACTTTTGTCTGATTGTTTATTATTACTAAATTAAAAGATCGATGTTAAAATAAAAATCAATATTTGACCAGAAAAAATTGTATTTGAATTAATAATGTTCTAGCAATATAATATTATTGCATATGCATAACAATATAATATTTTTCCTTAAAAATATCTTTATTGATTGTTTTTTTATCTTTAGGGAGGTTACCTCCTTTTTTAAGATTCTACCCTCAATGGATTATCATTATTTTTCTTATTATAAATAAATTATTTATTATTAGATTTATTTTTATTATAATAAGATTAATTATAATTAATTATACGTTGCACGTGGTAGAGCCATGCTGTAGCTATATTGTGATTGCAGCACGAATGGGTCGGCTCGACCGGTGTAGGACCACGTTCTCACACAATACCAGCGTATAATAGCGGCATCTTCAAACTTATAAAAAAAGAAATTTCTTTAAGTCTTATAGTCAATGATGATATAAAATTTGCAATTTTATATCATCATGCACTATGCACTACTGTTTGACGGTAGAACTAAGTAAGAGGCTGGTAGATCCAGATGAACACCTAGGTTGTTCGAGTTATACGTAATACGTATAAATAACGTTTTTCAGTGTAAACAAATAGCTCTCGGGCCACTCTATCATTTACCGGCCCACTTTGTGCCTACGGGTACGTAATAAAGTAGCTTGTCTATATCCACTTAACATTGGTGGACTGTGTGCTCGTTTGTCACGCATTCTCGGTCCAAAATATATGCGAATATCGTGTAATGCTGGTGTATAGTTTGGAAGACCGTAACCGTTACAGTTTATTGAAGTCCACTGCTGAACAGAGACCTTTCTCTTAGATTGCCTCATTGGGGGATATTTGCCATAGTTGCACGCTTAGCAAGTGGGTTGACAACCGTAGTTTTTATTTTATTTTTGGGCGTTATTAGGAAGAGGCTGCTTTCCTGCCCATCTCCTGATTTGTTTCCCTTTGTCCCCTCTTGCGACACTCACGAGATGATATGGGTAGTGCATATTTTTACACAGCCACTACACGGTTTGGAAAACATCAGTGGGAAATTTGTTTCAAACTCTACGCCTCTACGCGATTAGTTTCACACGTATACGTACCGGAACGGAAAGACACTGTCTCGACCGCCTTTACTCACCATTTATAATATTTAAATCCCAGATCGGGTGGATCTGGTGTGTGGAGTGACGCCGAGCTGGAGTCCAGGCGCGCCGCCCTGCTGGCACAGCTGCACGAGCACGAGGCCGACTGACGTTGCGTCACACACATACACATCTTCAACGACTACCCGCGCCGAACACAAACACAAGAAGCAGAACAACCACAGAATGATGCCTCCACAACGCAGTACACCACTGACGAAGAAGCAGGAAGCGTAGACAATACCTGCGAAATCTAACGATGATATATTATACCTTCATGTTATTACATTATAAATACACTTCCAGATATGGGCTATTCATTAGTACAGTGGAACACTTTAATATCTTTATGTAGAACATTTACTCACGGTATATGAATGTATCACTGTTATGTGTCATGTAAACATGATTGTGGTATCAGTACTAACTACCTGTTCTCAGTTCTCAGGAACTACCTATTATTATTAATTTTTAATACCAGTGGAATTCATATTATGTATGTATTAAAATAATAAAATCACCTCGATTATGTAAGATCCATAAACATGCTATTATTACCTAAACAGAAAAAAATATTAATAAAATATATCATCATCATCATCTTAATTACAGTCTCAAATCCACTGCTTAACATTGGCCTCCCCCAAGGGATGTCAGGATACATGGTTCTAAATCACTTACTTCCACCGACTTCCTGCATGTCTTACGAGGTCGTTGCTCCGTGTAGACTGTAGACTCTAGAGTGAGACCGCCTTACACGCCGCTAACCAATACAGCGTAATATCAGTAAGGTTTGAAGTTGTATCTTCAGAACCTTTGTCCGGTTGTCGGTTCTTTGAGCTATATGGGCGTTGCCACTTAGCGTACTAACCTTTTGATGAAATATGTAGTTATGATATATTATAAATAGATGAGATGTTCCTAGGCCTAAGAATTTAGAACTTAGTATTTTCAAGTCAACAAAAATGATTGTTTAGCATGTTATTTTGAATAATATTGCTCAGAATCCGTAGAACCATAGGAATAAATTAGTTTCTTTAAATGTACATAATTTTTAATAAAATCTAATGTTATAAATGATATTTTAAAGTAAAATCGTAATATGTTACTTTATCTAAAAAGAACATTTCCAGATTTATGCTACTTTGTTATTATCATCATTATTACACCCTATCAAAAGAACATAGGCCTCCCCCGTAGATAGCCTCATGAGGATATGTGCCGTAGTTGCCATGCTTGGCAAGCGGGTTTTATATATTTTGAGTTTGTTATTGGGAAGATTGGGTGACAAACGAACACACAGTCAACCTGATGACAAGTAGATACTGTGGCCTGTAGACATCTACATTTATCCTCGATTAAGAATCAAAACGCAGTACCCCTAAGGACTAAGATTTAATGCCTCGTATCCAGTAAAAAGGTTCTCCGATTTTCAACCCTCACTGAAACTAAACACGGCAGCATTAAGATGTTATTTTACGCTGGTATTCTGTGAGAGCGTGGTCCTTCCCCGGCCGAGCAGACCTATTCGTGCTACAACCATAATATGACTGCAGCGTGGCTCTACCTCGTTTCGCCCATCGTGACACCTACGGGTTGACATGGAGTAGTGGATATTCTTACGCTGCTACTACACAGCAAATGATCAATACACCTAATTGGACCAAGATAATGGTTATTAAAAATCGATTAAAATAATAACACTGTACTGTACTTTAGCTTTAATTTCTTGCAACAATATTACATGTGAACACTAAATTGTATTTTTTTTAATCATACATGCTTGATATTTCTATTACGTTGTAGATATATTTTATTATTGTGTAAATTCGGAGTTATTGCGGGAACTTGACCGGCGATGGATTGCTGCTCCTGTATTATTGTTTAAATAATGGTTTGAAGTCGATTTTGATATGTAAAAGTGGTGCGATTTTGTGTATTAAGTGTCTGCGCATCTGAACTATTAGTAGAAACGGTGAAACAAGAGCACTGATGGTGATGTGATTCTCAAGATAATGTGTCTCTGCTTAGGCGCCTTGAGATACCATCGCCAACTGTGAGCTGTCTGCTGATCAAGTTGCCGTCAAAATCTCCCAAGGACTGCATAATGTAACGCATCAACATATTGTGAAGCAGTGTACTATGGTTATTGTAGAAGGTTAATTATATAATGTAACTTCAGGCCCACAAGGTCTAGAACCCAGAGCCGTAAAGCCAGTTATAAAAAAATGTGTAAATTCATAAACAATATGAATTTAAACAGTATGTAAGGTTAATATAAAAATAAGTCCTTTTCATATGCATGGAGTCCACAATTACATCCTAAGAAAATTTAAACTTATTGTAATACTCCAAAAATAAATTTGTTTTTGAATTCTAAAAAATAATTTTAATTACTGTCATATTTTATTTAGTCAAAGATCCGCGACGTTGTAACTTCATTCGTCATTTACTTCTTGTTTCGAATTTAAGGAGGTGACAACATCTGACAAAAACACGGATGTTGTAAGGCAGGAGTAAATAAGTTTTTGTTTTGTTACCAACAAGCACTTGTAAGCTACAGTAGCTTATTAAGAGGTATGGACTACTTGTTTTAGGATTCGGACTGCCAAATTTTAAAGTCCGCGGGTTTGAATCCGCCAATGTAATGCTGTCTTGAAACACTCCAACACAAAGGTTTTTAGCTTAACTGGAGTGGACGGAACGGTAATATTAGTTGCGTTAGCACTGCTAGTATTTTAAGGAAAACTGAAATAAATAATCAGTGGCTAAATAGGCAAAAAACTACTTCCGGCTCCTCCATCGCTTTGCTGGCGTTACCTTCAGGACGTGCTGCAACCCCTCCACAATGCTAACGCGTTCATTTTCTATTCATTATCATCCTTGAATCGAGGGTGCGACGCATCAACCTGATTGACATCCTAACCTACTACTATCAATCTTACCTAAGGATAAAATAAACAGATATGACCCAACTGTTATATGCGCCTGCCTTATTCACCCCCGTCAAACGGCTGTCAATAGCCTCTTAAATCATCCTTTGTAGGAATCTGGGTTCTTTTGTAAGCATTTGAGTTCTATTAAAATCTGATGTAATGGTTAGGAAGATCCTGAACATGTTAACATACTGCAGACTGACTGCGTCGGTGCTTAACACTTCACATATTATGTTCTTTTACAGGTCTTTTTAAGAATCTTTTGGGTTGTCCTATGTAAAAGAAACTACTGCATGTTGTAGAAAAATATTACACCTGACGGTATGTATCCTTATTCGGTTTTCGGTATGGGTCATCTGCTTACCTAGATGACAAATGATCGTACTCTATTGCCTGAGGAAGTCCCAAACTCTATAGTCAATTATGTACAGCTTAAGGACTCTGTTTAGCCATGTAAGAGGCACAGAGTAGAATGCCATTCTATAGTCGTCAATCCAGGCGGCGAAGAAGTTCAGACGATTGCGTTTAAATACCTTGCCAGAAACCGTGTCAATGAGGCGTCGTTCCTTGGTCACACGACCACCGCCTTGACATACATTCTAAGCATAAGACATTATTTGATTTAAGTCTAGGTGATCAGTGATTTTCGTGCTCAAAATTAATATCGTGGAATGAGGCGATATTTGCTTGACCCTATGGTATTCTGGTGTTTATAAGGCAAATGAGTGATACGAGCAGTGAAGACGCGAGCGACACTGGTCGAGAGCCTCTAGGAACTTTCGGACGAGCACAGCGTGATAGACCACGAACCATTTTAGGCAGTAGTGATGCAGCCCATCGAGTCCTGGACTTCTAGTTCGGGGCCCTAGGGACTGCCACACACTGTGATTCTCGCACACTGACTCGCCATAACTTCTATTCAAGTTCAAGGGCCCTTGCTGTAGTTAATGTGCTTTTATCACCTGATTTGGCTCTTGGCCCGTCCCACGTATCATTGGTCGATCCAGTGATTTATAGAATTTCTGATTACTCTGGAAGAGGCAAATCTTGTTGAACCTCCTTGACTTCTCGGTATTTTGCCGAATCCGCTTCCCCCAAACAGCGATTATTTGCTTCAGGTCGCTGGCTGAGATAAACTGATATTTGCACCAATGAACACTAACGGTGCTCTATAACTCTCGGCTTATTATCAGCTCAGGCACAGAAGCTTATCAATTAGTTGAAATTGAGCAGAACTTTCTTAAAACTGCAGTGCAACGCATTAGCATAATCTGAAGAATTTATGAACAGACTACACGTAAAACTAGGCTGTATGGGCGTAGATCCTTTTGCCTTCAATGTAATTTATTTATTATGATTATTGGTTTGGATCCTTGTACTTTTAGCCATGTCTTCATTTACCTCAGTATCAAGGTGATAATAAACTTGACCGGCGGCGGAATGCTGCTGCTGTACTATTATTTAAATAATGGTTTGAAGTGGATTCTGATATGTAAAAGTGGTGTGATTTTGTGTAATAAGTATCTGCGCATGTGATCTATTAGTGGAAACGGTGAAACAAGTGCTATGATGGTGATGTGATTGCCAACTGTCATTTGTCTGCTGGCTCAAGTTTCCGTCAAAATCTCCCAAGGGCTGCAAAACGTAAATGTAATCTAACAGTGGTAGAGCTACGCGGCAGTTTTTGCTGTCGCACGGATGGTCCGGCTCGAACCGGGGTGGTACCACGACCTCACAGAAAACCATCGTGAAGTAGAGGTTTACCTCTGTGTTTCGCTTGGTGAGTGCAAGTGGCCGGAGGCCCTTTTTACTGGAAATGAGGCATTCCATCTTAGTCTTCAAGGGTGACAACGCATCTACATTTTGATTTGTAATAGAGGATAGATGTAGATGTCTATGGGCCGCAGCAACCACTTACCATCAGGTGGACTGTGTGCTCGTTTGTCACCCTTATCCTATAAAAAAAAAAACGTGACGCATCAACATATTGTTAAGCAGTGTACTATGAAGCATAATTATACACTCTAACTTGTCTCAGAAGGGCTAGAACCCAGAGCCGTAAAGCCAATTATAAAAAAGTCTATATTGTACTATAGTGATGTCTTCATTCGATTATTTTGATGATAATATGATCGATTATGTTTAAAAAGAACAATCGATTATTATACATCCTGTTTGAAATTAAAAAAAATCTTAATACCATTTTTCTGTAAAAAAGATAAGCGTGACTTGCATTTAAGTTTCAAAAGGAGACAAATAAATTATAGATTCTTTTTTTAAGTACAAAAGTACAGCAAAGACCATTTATTACTAAAAAATATTTCCATGCATGCTTATATTTTTTAGCAATAAATAACATAGAATTAAGTTTTATAAATAACAAGACATAATCAGTCTTGATCGTCCTTATAAAGTGTCTTCTTTTCTTTAGATATAATTTTAGAAGCCGACTTATTACCAAAGAAGACAAATATTTCGTTAACTGCTATAACAAATCAATTCTCAAATTGACAAGGAAGTTTTAAATTTTATTATTTTGCGACATTCTACTTCTTACCTTAGGCTTCTGATACTCCTTGATCCACTGAATAGGGTCAAAAAATAAAATTTTAATAAAATGTAAAAGCAAAACTAAGCCTATAAAGAACATATAGGTATAAAATAATTTACGAACTATCGATTATTTGAATAATCGAATATTTTTAATCAAGTGCGCCACTAGTCTTGCTCTTGTTTATATTTTATATGTCAAAATTTATAAACTATCTGATTTGTGTTGTTTTCAACTGGGAATATTTTACGCATAAAATATTTTCTAATTTTAGACTAAATAAACAGTGGAGTTGTGTGTACAGATATCTCCTTTTACGTTTGTAATTTTTTTTATAAAGTAATATAGAATATTGTATATAACTAAGTAAGAACATTGTATTTAACTAGGTAAGTTTTATTACAAATGAACGAACCCCCTGATCTTAGAGGTTGAAAATGGTTAATTAGCTATGAATTTTATGTAATAATTAGATAAAAATTAAAAATGTGTAATAAAAGCGGAGGAGCAGTATTAGTTGAAATTAAACCAAAAAAAAACAAAATGATGAACTTGTCAGCATGATAGCAATTAAAATTATGTTTGACTATCAAATACCACACCAATCCCAGTTACTAAACCTCATTTAGAATCAGTAAATACAGAATGTAGGAAGCTTTATCAGATCCATGACCTTTCCTCTTATGTTGTACATGTACAAAAAGAAACACCTTCTCCTTCTTCACCTAGTGTAGTACCTCATTCCATCGGGTTTCTTTTGTTAATTTCTAATGAAGAATTATTTTAAAAACATTACCAGAAATTTAAAATAGTATTGGTAAAAGCAGAATATTGTTAGCCCTTTCTAGTTTTGCTGAAAGCAATTTATTTATAAATTACCCTACTGAAACTAACAGCCTTAATTCCGAATTTTAATAGTACAAGAATAGTTAGAGGAGTCCTTATGAAAAAAGATAATATAACTGTCCCAATGAGCTGTGGTGAAATATTATAAAACTAAGGTGAATAAACTTCAAAATTATCGTTGATGGATCTTCAGTAATCTTCTCAGGCAGTGGTTATTACATTTGATGGCCAGGTTCTTCTTCATTTAATATATTGAATATGTGTTACAATGCATTAACAGTTAGAGCCTTATATACATCCTACTATTCAATGTTATAACTAGTGTCGATATGGACATACAAAAATTCTGTGTAGGACTGAACTCTGCTGTTACAAATGTGGTGATGGATATACTTGTGGAACATGTAATAATAATGATGATTGTACTTATTGCTCCTTGTGTTCTGGCTCACATTTTGCTAGAATAAGTCTTGACCTGAATGGGCAAGGTAAAAACAAATTTACCATTGTACAAAACTGCACATCATATGAAGCATCCAAAATTCGCCCTCCTGCCGCTAAGTTTTATGTTAATGCACCAACATCCCCTCCCTCACACACATTTTCAGCAGTCTCATTGTAGCAACAATACTCAACACAATCATACAGTCAACAATTGATGAAAAATCTTACAAAAAGACCATAAATCTTAAGCCTATTTATGTTATGATCCAGAGGCTGCTTGGTCATCAAGCCCTAATCAAGAAGTATGAGATTCCAAATCCTAGTATGGTAATCTGTAAAAGACTTAGGATTATTTATAATGATCATAATCTTTCATGGTCCGTGCATATTAAGGAGTCCAGTAGAAAGATGTTTGTGGCAGCATCTTTCTTATGACTAACTTGCTACCCATTCCCACTAGAATTTTATTGGCATAGTCCTTATTTTCCTTGATTATATTGATGCATGCTACTCTTAATCTTACTGATGATCAATTAAATAGACTTGAGCATCTTCATAATTTTGCTATTAGGTTCAGATTTATTGGCCTTCGCAAATATGATCATGATTCCAAGTTTCGTACCAAGCTCAAGTGACTGTTGGAATACTCACATTGTATCTCTATTGTACTGTACTCTATTTGATCCTAAAACACTCAAGTATCTTAAAAAAAATTGAGTATGTGGATTCAGACAAAGATCATTCCAGATTAGCTGATAATCTTATTTTATGAATAAAATCAAACAACTCAAATTTTTTTCATTCCTTTTGTGTCAAAGTAATGACATTATAGAACTTGCTTTCTTTAACAATTAAGCAAGCCCATAACAATGAGTCTTTCAAAAAAATTATCAAAAATTATTATGTAAATAAGTGTTCTACTTAATATATTTTATTATGATCTTCTCTCGTTACCAAAACGTTAGCCGAAGGAATCTTGGGACCGTCACTGGACATCAAGTAGGTAGCCCAGCAAAAGATGAATTCTATTTTTCCATCAATTGCATCTAAACTTTGGTATACGAAAATTAAATTTAAATAAACACAGTACAAATACATTAATATGTATGAGACTATGTTACTTCTTTCCTTTCTTTCCTATGTAAAATCTATGTTGTTGATCGTTCTTTGTGTACTTCTGAAACAGAAGAGGTAAATTAAATCATATTTAACCTCTTCAGACCTGAACTAGAGGGGACTTATGTATAAGTAACTTTTTGCGTTTTTTATACTTACTGGGGTCAAAATAAAAACTATAATTTTTTTAAAAAAATTTATTATTATTATTAATATAAAAAAAAGTTGTTCCACATATGTGGACCTTGGGTCTTAATGCGGTCCAAAGTTCTTATTAGAATGGTAACTCTCGAAACAGTTATTTTTTAATATACATAAAAAAACATGACATTTTACACACATAGTGCGGCATTTGGATGAACATGTCGGATGGCGACATTTGGATGCGTTCTTGGAATCAATGAATCGTGGCAGGTGGCCCACATTATCCAGCCTTGTTTCAGGTAGCGGATGGGGTACAACCGCTCGATTTTTTTTTGCAGGAGGCTCATCACAGCCCACGTCCGTGATTTTTGAGTTGGAAACTGCCGAGGGGCCAGGGCTAGATTGAGATCTGGAGCCAGGACGCATAAAATTTGGGTCCACTCTACTACCGTCATACTTCATCAAGGCTTTAGCCAAATTCAAGCGGTATTGAAGCAATCCCAGCTTATGCTTGCTTTCCACATTTTCAACTTTGCAACAACGCATGTACATCAACCAGCAATTGACAACCACAAGGTCGAGAAAGTGACAAAACGTTCTAACTGTCCATTTTTTTGTGCGCATTGAGCTCCGATAATATGCAATGAGCCGATCACACAAGTCTATTCCGCCCATGCAAGTGTTGTAGGTTTTTACAACAGCTGGCTGTGTCACATCTATCTTTTCTTTTCTAACCTTACACCAACGCTGGCACGTAGTTGCTGGCTCACCTCCTGTACATGTAGATAGCAATGTTACCGCTTTTGTGTCTTTCCATTTCACGATACATATGTTATCATCATTTCGGACTTTTTCATCCCAGGCCCCTCTCTGCAACTCCTTGTCTGGCTTCAATTTCGTAGATACTGGGCCAATTCTATTTGTCATAACAGTTCCAGTTAGAAATATTTGATTATTATTTGCAATAAGATGCTCGGCCAGTTTTAAACTAGTAAAACACCTATCGGTGTAAAGAACACAACTGCTTTCAATGGTGCGGCAAAGAGTTTGCACAATGCCGCCTCCTAGTCCCAAATTTTTGATAATTTCTGGTGATATGGTGTCTTTACCAACATATATTTCGAAATCTAACACTATTCCATCTCGGGCAGCGAGTACAAAATTTTTAAGTCCAAGTGGATTAGGTTTACTTGGAACGTACTGACGGTACTCACATCGCCCTGCAAATGGTATCATTTGCTCGTCTATGGACATGTGTTTAGAACGAGGCAAACTGTGGCATTTCTTTAAAATTGGATTAATTATTGGCCTTATTTTCCATAGTTTGTCGTTAGTATCTGGACAGTTCAGGTCTACGAAGTGGAGATAATTGCGAAGTTCAAAAAATCGGTCCCGAGGCATGGTATCCCTGATAATAGGCACACATAAATCTCTAGTCTAATAAAGTTTTCCTTGGGGGTATTTAAGAGTACCCATCAATAATTGCATACCCGCAAAATGAATAATCTCAATGGAGTTTGTTTTCAATGATTTTAGATCACGTTTTTGAGCAGAATAAATGTTACTTTGTTCAGCCACCATTTCCCAGAATTCTGTTCCCAAGTACTCAAAAAAACAATACAAAATGTTCATCTCTGAAGTACCCTGCGCTACGAGCTCATCATCTGCGATGTCTGGTCCACGGCAACGCATTTCTTTTGTACGCCAAAACAACGGTGCTGACCTTCCAGGTTCCGCTTCTGTCAAATTTTCTTCTTCATCTTCTTCTGAATCGTCGGACTGATGAAGAGCCCTTACCACTTCTGGAGGCAAGTAATCATTGTCATCTTCATTGCCAGAGAAGTCAAAGTCACTTTTATTGAGAATATCCTCAATATCCCGGTCATTCATGATAGAACTGAAAAATAGTAATATGCTATTAAAACCAACGTTAAATCCTGAGGTCCACATACGTGGAACAGCAAAAAAATTCGAATTTTGATACAAAAAAAACAAACAGAAACAAAAACTCACCCTTTCAAACATAAATTTAGTTATTCAGCTATACAAAACTACAACACTTTCGACTTGAAGCAAACAAAATAATTTTATATTGATTTTCAAAGTTCGAACGTGACAGACCTACGGAAAATTTTCAAACGAACAATTTCAAACTTAATTTTACGTGTCAAAACTATTGTCTAAAAGCCATCTATCGGTTTAGATAGAAGCTCTGTATCCTTTATCGACTTTCATTAGTATTGACAGTTGTCACACGATGTCGCTAACTGTTGCAATTCTAAAAATGCTAAGGTCCTCGTATGAGTACCTACGGTCTGAAGAGGTTAATATGCACTATGCATACTTCATGGAGAAAGAGGGACTCTTTATGACGAACTCTTTCTTCCAGAAGCGGTCCCACGGGAAGTGGACCTGTTCGAGCCCCGACATACATATCCTTCGGCAAATTGTACAGAAGACCAAAGAGTACAATCTACCACTTTGCCTTGCGTATGTAGACTATGAGAAAGCCTTCGATTCCATCGAAATTTGTGCGCTGCTACAGTCCCTTCAGGGGTGCTAAGTTGACTGTCGGTATATCAAAGTGCTGAAGTGTTTGTACAGTAGGGCTACGATGGCTGTCCGAGTACAGAACCAGAGTACGAAACTTATCCAATTGCAGAAAGGTGTATGACAGGGTGACGTTATATCCCCGAAACTCTTCAGAAATGTCTTCCAATGCCTACTGCATGCAAAAAATCTTATAGTGACCATGTCAATATCAAAAATCTTTTAAGTTTTAAATAAATAGATTGACTTGGCCATCGCATGAAAACACAATGTACTCGTATCTGTCAAGTAATACATATTATATTAAATTAGATTGTTTAGTGCGATTGCCAAGTCAATTAATTTATTTAAAACTTAAAAGATTTTTGATATTGATATGGTCACTATTAGATTTTGTTAGGTTAGCTAATTACATAATAACTTAAGACAGAAGGACCCTTAAGTAGGGACTGAATAAATTCACCGACTTGGTATTAAATGGATCTCACAACTTTTTACGGTAGAAGAACTGAGTTGTGAGACTTTGCTTTTTTTACAAGTTATGTTTTTCATAGCATCTTATTTCTTTTTGTAGATAGTTATATCTAGGTACCTATCTACATCTATTAATCCATTATATTATACATATATAGGTACACTGATTCATTCATTGCAAATGTAATTTTGTAATCCTATATATTTATATGGGATTACAAAGTTATTTATGCAGTTGGTGTATCTTGAAAACTGGACCGAAATTGCAAAATATTTTAATTTTTCCTTGATTTATATATTAAACAATAATTGTATTCCAAATTTGAAGCTTCTATGTCTGCTAGAATGCCTTAGAGTTTCGATGATCGGTCAGTCATTGAGTGACAAAATTAAGAAACTTTGACTAGTTATAATTCTTAAACTACTGGTTAAAATTAAATGAAATTTGAAATATACCAAGTTTATACAACGCCTACTTGGTTAAAATTCAGGCTTCTAGTTTTATCCACAACAAAGTTATAGGGTTTCGAAAATGGCCTGAACTGCTTCGAGAAAAGGATGGTACGGCCGTGCCGCTTTTTTGCTTGACTTGGCGGGGGCACTGCCGTGCTCCCAGATCAGGCGTTATTTCGGCGTGGTAATGAGCTGTTTTTTCTCAACAAAGTTTAATGATCAAATCACAAGGAACACTATTATCCTCCATTTTCACTAAAAATCTTTAAAAAAGCATAAATTTTCAACTCGCAATATTCATTCGCTCAAGTAAACACACAGAGTAAACATTGAAATGTAAAGTGAACTTGCAAACGTATCGCCCTCGCGCCCTGCGCTCGACTAACTTCACACCGAAAGCCCAGCTTATCGCTTCATACTAATTGCTATATAAACAATCGTAGTTATATTTCATTATAGAACATTTTGCCACAGGTTAGAAAGGGGGCGATCGTCTTCTCGAAAGCCCGGTAAAAAGCCCGCGCGTGCGAGAGACGACTAATCGCTCAACTCAACTCCTTTTTTATGACAGCAGTATCGCGCAGTTTTGGCGCGACCGGGGTCCATCCATATTGCTTTGCTTTCATTAATTTTAACAGTCCATTGCGTGTTCGCATTGAGATATAAAGAACACGAATCAGTGATATTTCGAATTGAAAGCAATCTGTCAAGCGTTGACGTTACATAATAAGGCTACGAGGTCATGACCTGTTTAGAACAGAGGAGCGCGCTGGAAATAGTTTGAAACAGTTTACGAGTTATTTTATTGGTTGATATTATTGATTGAGCAGTTTGATAGGGCAAGCCCGGCTTCTCGGCTTCTATGGAGGCTTCGCTACCGCTAAGTACTATGCTCAACCTTACCGAGCGGTCAATCGACGGATTCAACTCGACTGGGCAGCGTTCACGAAATTACGACACATCTGTCTCGACCAGTGACCAACTTATGATTCTGCGACGTAGTCCTTCACTGCTGGCCGTATGAGGACGCTCGAGGTCGCTCAGCGAGCTATGAAGAGGGCTATGCTCGGGGTTTCTTTGCGCGATAAACTAAGAAATGAGGATATCCGCAGTAGAACCAGAGTGACCGACATAGCCTGACGCATTAATATGCTGAAGTGATAATGAGCCGGTCATATAGCTCGAAGACCGACAACCGATGAGGAAGAAAGGTTCTCGAGTGGCAGCCTCGTAACGGTAGGCGAAGTGCAGGGTGAACCCCCACTAGATGGAGTGACGACCTGGTAAGACATGCAGGAAGTCGTTGGATGCAGGTGGCTCGGGACCGTGCTTTGTGGTATTCCTTGAGGGAGGCCTGTCTTAGCAGTGGACTTGTGAATGGCTGTAATGAAGATATGCATATTGTATTTTAAATATGAATATCCATATCACATCTCTTGACTGCCCCATTGGTTTACTGGTCGTAAACGCAATTGATAATCATGAGGCCCGGGTTCAGGTCAACTAGTTTCCCTCTTTTTTATTTGTCTTTGGCAAGAAATATAACAAAATCCCATAAACTACAAAAAAACATGCGTGAGTGTCGTGGAACACTCGATTGGAACAAAGTTCTTTCCGTAGTACATTATTATTGATAAACGTATTATATTAATAGCGTGTATTAAAATGAAGCGTCATTTAAAATAATATTTCTTTCATGGCATGATAGAAAAAGTGCGAGGGAGATGGATATTATTTCATCTCGCTCGCACTATAGTAAGGGGGTCGTGACGGAAAAAAATCTTACACTTTTTCTCGTCTAGCCCAAAGACGTATTAAAAAAGATAGACAGGTTACACACTAACATTATTGTATTTTAAAGTGGCGCAGGTAGTGCTATATCTACGTACAGTTATTTATTATGACACGTTGCGCTAACAAAAAGAGAAATGATACGGCATACCTATCGTTAGAAAAAGATGAGTATACATCATTAGTTGCGTATTGATATGATATAGAAATGAACACTAGCTAGTGTCAAAGTTTACACTAGCTGTTAGTGTTGAAATAATAAAACCAATTATGAACAAAACATCTATATTCAAAATATTAATGAGACATTTTTCTTGTCTCTAACAGTTGCCGTGTAATTTGTGCACCACCTAAAAACACAAGAAGGCGTTTTTACCACGAATAACTAGAAGATTTACGCGCTGTAGCGAAGGTATAGCCGCGACGCGAGAGCGTTCCCGACTGAATGCGTGTCGGGCAATTACCTGACTTTCGTATTGCCATTTTAGAGCGAGTATGACGTATCTATACTTTAAAAACAGCTTAGGTCTAGCCCCCATCCGCCAAATTCGTACCGTGCGATAAGGAACTTCGTTCCAAAAATTAACTTTTAGTCTGGCAAATAATTAATAACATGTACATTCCAGTAAGTTATTAAAATATATTTCATTATAACTAACTGCGAATGAATTAATCTAGTAAAACTTTTTACTTTGCAGATTCGCATACGTTTCAAAGCTTGCTATTATAACAGACATGTCTATTTGGATATCAAAAAATAGTAACGATGCTGAGAGTTCATTGCAAGAGTGTTCAAAAAAACCATATACTAAAATTGATCTGATTGGTAAGCTGCACATTATTCACGCTTTAGACAATGGCCAACCAAAAGCAGATATCGCTAGGGATTATGGGGTCCATCCTCAAACAATAACATATATATACAAACAAAAAGAAGCATTAATAAGAAAATATTCACAGAAGTATAACCTTCTTAAGGAAGTTCGGTGCATTAACCTCAACCAGACTTTATTAGATTGGGTTACAAGCGAACTTAAAAGTGGAAAAATTATTAAAGAAGCCCAACTGCGCGTAAAAGCTGAAGAAATAATAAATACTATGTGTGAAGACTTTAATTGTGTAGATGATTGGTTACTAGATTTTCGGAGAAGAAATAATATATTGAAATTTACTTCTGAAATCGTATGTAGTGATGTAGCAAAAGATGAATGGCATACATTTGTTAATGATTTAGATGTCAGTAACTTGTACATTGGTGGTGTTTTTGGATTATATTACTCATTTGATTTTGATAAATATGTAAGTAAGCAAAAAGCAGATAAACATGTATGTGTGTTTTTCATAGTTAATTGTTGTGGAGCTGACAAAAAGGAATTAGTTGTTATTGGAGATGAATTAATTGAGTGCAGTAATATTAAAAGCTTACCTGTAAAATATATTTACAGTCAAAATTTAAACTTAAGTAATAATACAATTGGAAACTGCTTAAACAAATGGAATAATGATTTAAAAACACAAAATCGAAAAGTATCTTTAGTAATGGATGTTTCAGAAAACTTGTTAAACAATATCAGTTATGGAAATATTGAAATAAAAAGACTGATAAATATGGAGTTTATTACAAAAAACATTAAAATGATTGAAAAATGTTTTAAATTTCATTACAGAAGAATCCAAATGACTAAAAAACTACTCTATAACAAAGATTCAAGTGTGTTGTCATTAGTAGATTATACTCAAATAATGAGTGTAGCATGGCACAGTGTGTCAAATGAATATATACATAGGCTTTTTTTCCCGCTTGAGAATGATAGCCTTTACTTTAACTGTTGTGATGCTAATGATTCCAACCATAGTTTGTTACAGTGGTGTAAATTGCATAATATACCTTGTGATCTTGTAAAGTATTCAGATGACTTGGACAATTTTATTCAGTGTGATAAAGATCTCCCAATAATGTGTAGAAATGTAACAAATGATTTAATTCTTAATGTAAACGACACTCTCTTAGAAAATGATGTTTTACCTTCATCAGGTGTACAAGCTTATCAAGCTATAAAAAGACTCATTACTTATTTACAAAGCCAAAATGCAAAAAAATCTATTGTAAGTAGTGCAAAGACCTTAGAAGATCATTTAGAATATGGAGCACTTCAAGAAATTCAACAAGTAATGGCTACAAATAATATTCCTGAATAATAGTAATAATTTTTTTTATATGAAATTACAGCAAATTGTAACTATTGGGAGAAAAATAGTTTAGTTGAGAGTTTCTTGAAAATCTTGTTCTTAAGGTCTTAAGAATAGTCCGCAATAGTCTTGTTGAGGCGATGACGAAGCTTTCTTGACTATAAAAGTGCTTTGCAAAGTATGTATAATTTTGAATAAAAATATTTTGAGTTTGGCTACCTATATCTAAGCCTGACGTGGAAGTAAAGTCTTTGCTACCTATAAGCTGATATTCATAGCGGCTTAGCTTTCTATTGACGTCAGTGGAGTTTGGTGTTGATACGTATTTTTACAGAAAGGTTACACTATTATAAGCACACACACAAAGTCTCAATATACGGAAACGCGTAATTTTTGAGAAAAGAATAATTGAAAATCAATTATTCTTGCAATGTTTATGTCTAATCTGCTAATAAACTGACGCCATTTTGTAATGTCATTGTCGACGTCAATAGGGATGTCGATTCTTTCCGAAAAAGGTCGATTTTTAAATCGATTCAAATCGTAAGCTGATGTATCGGTTCACAAAAAATCGATTTCTAAAATATTTATATTTTTTAAATGTTTCTATTTATAATGTAAATATAAACCCATTTTATGAAAAACAAGAAAGATACCATGATAAATGATCTCTTATTGAAATTTGTTTTATTTAACAGTACCTATTAGGGCAGATAACAAATAAAATTGGTTAGGTTCAACTTATGTCAAAGAACCGAATTGATTGACCCCGACTCCACCTGGTACGAGTCTGTCCTACACCTAGAGTGGTTTTATAGAGCCGGAGGCGCGTAGGGGGAGCAGCCTCCGCCTGCTGTAACAAATCGTAGGCATCGGACGAGCCGGAGCGGTTGAGGCTGGTCGCCGAAGGCGACCAATAAGCCGAAGCTGCGGAGGCGAGGAGGGATACCTGCGATTTGTTACACTAAGGCGTAGAGGTTGCTCTTCCCGCAGCGCCGGAGACGTAGCAGTCTCAAAATAGATACAGAAATCCTTATGAATCAGTCCCCTTATTTTTTTATGATGAAGGGGATTTTTTTCTCATAAAATGGATTTATATTTACATTATAAATGCAAACATGAAAAAAATATCGATATTTTAGAAATCGATTTTTTGGGAATCGATACATCAGCTTACAATTCGAATCTATTTAAAAAAATCGATCTTTTTCGGAAAGAATCGACATCCCTATTGACGTCGACAATGACATTACAAAATGGCGCCAGTTTTATGGTAGGATTAGACATCAACATTGCAAGAATAATTGATTTTCAATTATTCTTTTCTCAAAAATTACGCATTTCCGTATATTGAGACTTTGTGTGTGTGCTTATAATAGTGTAATCTTTCTGTAAAAAACAACCACGTATCAACACCAAACTCCACTGACGTCAATGGAAAGTCGTACCTCCCAATCAAATCCCATGTAAAGTGTTACCTGTAAATAAATTAAAGTGGTATCAAAATAAGGTTCCCATAAAATAACAATTTGTTTCAAAATAAATATGTGAAATTTAGAATACTTTGGAGTTCTAGACATAAATTATTTCCTTTAATCAAAACCATTAGATGCTATTTATTGTGTTATAGTAGTACGTAGTAATGTTATAGAATGTAGTAGGTTAATTAATGTATAGTCCACACCTTATAACAACCTGGGAAGCCGCGATAATTTAGGTTTAAAATAAAAAAGTGTCTAGTCTGCCAACAGTGGTTGTTATACATAAAAGAATAATTGGAAGCAATACATAGGTAACGTGTCTTTGAAAAATATAAATATATTTGGTTGAAATAAAGTAGCATGGCCTTTGTTTACTAGCTGATACCCGCTCGCTTCGCTGGGCGCACGAACCGCACGATGCAAATCCGGGCGTCTTGAAGGCACGAGTGAATACCTAGGCTTTTGTTACGCTAGGGCAGTGCGATTTACCATCTAAGGCAACTTCATATATTATAGCCCCTAATTTCGCTCTAAGTACTAAGGAAGCACATTTTAAGATTTGAAATTTCATTTGTTAAAAAAAGCTGTATATCAATTAATGTTGGTTAAAATAATTCATAAAATTTCTGGTGCATACAATTTTTTATTTGTTTATAAACATAATATGATAAAATAATTTTATAACTTAAAAACTATGTTCGGCTCTTGTGAATTTTAATTATCTAAAAAATATACGAGCACTAGTAAGGCTATAATAAAGTAATTTGAATTCCTCTTCAAGTGTTTTGATTTTCTTCTCCGACAATGCAAGTGCTTGTTGTAATTGCAAACTTCCCTGATTTTTTTGTTCATTGATAATTTCTCTTTCTTCTTTTATGTGATTCCACACAGAACTAAACCAATGAAGAGATTCAAAATTTTTATCCTGAAATCAGATGTTATAGTGTCATAAGTAGGTAGGTAGGTTTTGTTTTTATAGATGGGGCGAACGAGCATGCGGCTCACCTGATGGTAAGTAACTACCGCCGCCCATGAACAACTGCAAACCAGTGGAACCAGCGGAATTGCAGATGCGTTGCCGGCCTTTTAAAAAGGAGTAGGCTCTTTTCTTGAAGGTCCCTAACTGTAATAACTGTGTGGTAGCGGCGTAAGAGATTCCATCATCCCATTTCGTTTGTCGTAAGAGACGACTACGGTAAATGCCAGAAAATTTCTTATTGTTACTCTTCAGCTTATTGAGGACTGGGGATGTTCTACTGCCCAGCCCACGACTTGCCTAGTCGGACAATTTGTCTTAGGCAAACTACTATCGGCATAGGTGTGACACGGATTTTATTATATTACCTTTTCTTGTTTCTTGTCTTTGATTCATCTTAAAAATAAGCTAAGATTCTCCAGCAATTTCGCCATAAGTACTACATTGTTCAGCAAATCAAAGGCGAGTGATGTAATTGCCACTCATATTGATACCGTATCCTTTCTAGTCCAGTAACTTAAGTCTTAAAATAAAGGGGGAATATTTTCGGGAATATGTCACCCTGTCTTACATCTCTGCCGTTGGATAGGTTTCGTAGTCGTATAAACATCGTAGCTCTACTGTACAAACACTTCGATATACCGGAATCAAAAACTTTTTCATATGTAGTCTATGGTACTTAAAAACTTGCGGGAGGCTGGAAGTCATCGAGTCTGCGCGCTAGACGGTTCGTGATAACAGAACGTAGACACGGCTCAGAAGGTAAAACGGTCTGTAGTTCTTCAAGAGAGGGCCCCTTTCTTGAAGAATAAGACCACCGCACTTCTGATTCATGTCTCCGGAGTAGTGCCACCATGAAGGACGGAATTGGACAGCTTCTGAAGAACTTAGAACCGGTTTTCACCGTACTTTAAAAGTGGAATTTCGTTGGTAATTCCGTCCCTGCCCGCGGCCTTGCCGTTTTAAAGCGCTGGTGAACCATTCTAATCTCGCTCATACTGACTGATTTTTGAAATAATATCGGATTAGATTTGTTAATGGATCGTTACTCATACTTGCGTGTGGCTCTATCAATGACGTATACAGATGTCTATAGAACATCTCAGTCGCACTCGAAAACTTAAGTGCCAGGGAAAGGATGCTACCATATTCGTTATTCAACTTCGATAGTTGGCTTTTTCTACCAGATAGATTTCTAGCAGACTTTGGAGCCTTGGTTCTGCTCAATCGCTTCTTCAATACAAGCTGTATTGCAATAGCGTCAGTCTCGCACTTTTGAGTTCTTTTTTTTCGAGGGGTCTTGCAGAACTTAGCTCCGACCGCGTGGAAATTGCCACGAGCTTGTCATTCATATAGTCCACAATATTGAAATCAAGGCACTGAAAACTATTTTTTAATTCGAGCTGAAAGTTTTCGTGCATTGACTTCAATAGACAAGAGCTCTCCAATTTAATTTTAGGATCAGTATGACAATAGTAAGACCATTATAAGTGGTTATAATGAAGTCATCATTTTTTATTAAAACAGTGTGTTTGACAGGTCCACTTTCTGTGGGCCGCTGCTGGAAGTAAGAATTCATCACAAAGAGTCCCTCCTTCCCCATGAAGTCAGTCAGTCGGTGGTTTGTCGACAACACACTCCCGATTTTTACAACGTTGTTAACGAGACTTATAGACGATAAATCTAACACCTCCTTAGGATAGATGGTCGCCCTCACATGATAGATAAAGTTGCGAAATTCGTGAATTATCTTGTCCTCCCCCTTGCTTCGGATGCTTGCATCATGAGGGAGATGATGGGGAGTATATTGCTATAGTTGCAAGCGGGTTGGGCACCGTAGTTTTGTTTTTATTGTAATTTTGCTGTTATTAGAAATTGTAAACACCTATCTTACCTACTTGTAAAGGATATTACAGGGTTATTTTTCAGAGTAGCCGAACTTAAACTTAAGTTCGAATATATAAATAATGATATATCGTTATTGAAGTTGCTGAAAATACGAGTAAATGAGGTTTCTAATTTTATTTAAAATTATCCCAAATTGAATGTTATTGATGAGCCACTACGTTTTTGCGTATCGATCGACCCTTACGAATGTGTGCGTGCGCAGTACAATCAGTTAAAATAATGCATTACCGCGCATTTTGAGATAAAAACAGATAGAAAACACGACCATAAAAAAATTAAAGTAATTTTTTTATGGTAGAGTTTTCAGAAGTTACTTAAGTTATTTCTATACCTTTGATTACTTATTCTGTTATAGCACTTAAAGGGAACTTTTTTGTAACGGCGATCTAAGCTCGATCGCGCAGATACAAAATAATATAAAATGTGTGTATTTTTATGTTACATTAGTTTTATGTTTAAAAACGAAAAAAAAAAAACAAAATTAAGTACCTGATCTAAAAGCTTCAGTATATACGCAACACCGACAGCGAATCCATCATCCGTGAACGCAGCTCCTGCTTTGTTTTTCTTTGACATCTTGTCTTTAGATAAAATCATATGTTCAACAAAATTTAATGTCAAAGGAGGCACAATTATAAAGAAATTTTTTAAATGGACGTTTTTAGGATTTCTAAACACTGGAGCAAAAACGTCCACAAGTAACTTAAAATACTCCGTGCCTTCAATAAAATTAGATACTAGACCGTTAATATTGTCGTCCAAATTTTCCGCAGCCTCAGTGACTTTTTGGCTAAGTGTGTTTTGTTCACACAATTCCCTAAATGATTTATTATCCAAACTTGGAAGAAAAGCGGTTGCGTCAGAACAGCAATGTCTGCCACCAGATCGAACCATCCGAACATAGCCCATAGCGTTCCCTATCTGCGTTATGAGATCTCGAAATAAATCTAGGTAACTCTGGCCATCTTCGGCTAAGCCTAAAACTTTGATCCCTTTGTTAAACTTTTCGGCGTGTTTATACAGATACATATTACCATTGGCTTGGGCGTTATCCTTAAAATATCTCAAATCTTTAATCAGTCTTGATTTAATCTGTTCGTCAAACATAAATTGTGAAAAGGTAAAAAATTTGTTTTTTAAAAACTGATACGTAAAATTGACAGTTGTGTTCATGATCCCTGTACCATGTGTTCTAATGGAATTTGCTATATGCCTTATATTAATAGAATTCAGATGTTTATTATTACTACTCTTTTCTATGAAAATTTGATTGTTCAAGTTATACTGGTACTTAGAGACGAAAATGTGTATTTTACGCATAATCTCCAACACGTCGAGGCCTTGTTCTAATGTTTGTTTAGGAAGATTATCCTGTACCGTTGCAAGATTAAACTTAAGTTTAGCCATTTGTCGCATCTCTCCATAAGTTTTCCAGTCCGACAAAACGACAGTCGTTAAGTTGTAGTAGGTCTTGGATAAATAATGTTCCACGTTAGGGACAACATTCATATATATGTTTACAATTCTCAAGTTATTAGTAATTAGGAGCACTTTTTTAATCATATCAGTTGTAAACGGGTTTATTATATCTAGTTGTAAATGAGAGTGAATATGTAGACGTAAATTAGTTTCAATATGTTGGCTGGAATTGTCTAGTACTTTATCTTCAATTAAATCATTGGTACTATTGAGAAATTCCTGAAATTTCATGTTTCCGTAATATTTATCAGTTTTGTGCAGTAGAGACGCGCAATCTTCCAAAACCATGAAGAAATATTTTAATTTAAGTGCATTCAATTGGACGCCGAACTGTTGTTCAAAATAAATTGGGATGATATTTTGATGCCAAAGCATCCAAGAACAATTGCAATATTTATCAATGTTAGTGAGAAAGTTTGTTAACATTTGAATTTTCTCGAGCAATGTTCCTAATTTAATGTAAGTGTCATTCACATAAGTTGTGTCTGGCACAAAACTCAATGCAATATTTGCGGCTATGTTCCGCTCAATGGTAGCTGCACCTGTAATAGCTTGTTCTGCAATAACAATGCATGTTAGCTCATCTAATTTTTTACTGGCATATTTTTTATCGCACATTAACATTTTCTTTACTTCCTGTACGGAGGATGCTGCTTGAAATAGTAAATGTTGAATGATCATTGTTATTGAATTTATAATTTGACTACAATTACGTACAACAGCGTTTTTAACGCCTTTGAGTATGTCTATAACTTCGAATAAAGACATAAGGGTTTGTTTTGACAAGGGTATCCCGAGGGACAAATGTAGATTTAAAAATGTCAGGAGCGAATGGCTGATGGTGGAGACAGTATGAACTCCTTCTAGAATTATTTTTGCATGCATGCTCATTTCTGTTGCGTTTAACTTATTACTGTTCGAAAAAATGTCTTCTATGTTTAATACCCATTGTGAGCAAACACTTTGTAGGATCATAATGTCTTTAGACAGTGATATTTTTTTGGTATTCATGTATGCTTGTCGAGTTTTGAGCATACTTTGTGACAACTTTCCATGATTGGAGAAAAGCGATGGAGCATATCTTTGTAAAAATTGTTCGGGAAACCATATAGTTGTTCCAATGACATGTATACTGTGAGCCTGTAAAATAAAAACAGTTTTCCAGTATTTAGATAGAAATATAGGTACAATAATGAAGCCTCTTTTCTTTGTTTTACATCGCCACTAATGCGCCTTTAATATCCTTACACAAACACCCATGCCGATAGATTTCTTCCTACGGCAGGTCAATACTAGATCATACTGGAGGTTTTCATTCGCTAAATTTCGCGAAGCTAATAAAAAAAGTGTGAGGCGGCCTTATAATAGAGGCGCACTTGCCTATGTTGTACATTCGATCGTCAAAACTAGTATGGAGTAGCAGTCCGCCATTTCCGTTTCCTGTACTTTTACTAGAAAGTGTAAATCCCCCCTACTATCGCTCTATGTTCACGATTCCCTCTATGTACCTATACACTTTTTTTTTTGCTGGAAACTCAAGTGTATTCGTGGCGCTGTCAGCTTTCAGCAAAATCGATAGTTTGGCCTTCTATGTTTGTGTTTCCATATATGTTGCTTCAGCTGTAATTCGAAATCAGGTGGCATGATTTAATAGTCAATTGAAACACATTCACGCTTGCTATTGCATATAATTTAACAAGTGCTATTATGAAATGATTTTTGTGAAACTACAGCCTTTAAAAGTCCACTGTTGAACATAGGCCTCCCCCATAGATTATCTCACAGGGGGGATTTTGCCATAGTTGCCACACTTCACAGGCGGGTTGGCAACCGCAGTTTTCCATTTCATTCCATTTCCTGTTTCAGTATCCCTCCGTCGCCTCTTACGGAAGGTGCTGGATATTCTTAAAGCGCGACTACTTGATATAATATGGTGTAAGAACTTACCTTTAAATTAAGATCACATAATGATTTAAAATTTTTCTTGTCACCACTGCCAAACAAATGTGAGTTTAGCACAAATAAAGCATTGATTTTAATACATTTATACATATTTTCTGTGTTTGGTTTATCTTGTACCAATCTGTCCAAGTTAAAAATTGCTTGTTTAAGATATTGCGTAAACTCTGAAGCAACAGCTGTACAATTTTTTGCAACAAGCGTTTTCTTTCTTAGCGTTAATAAATGATGCAGCGTGCTTTGAACTATATCATCATTCATAATCTTGCATGTTATATTATCAACAGCTCCCAATAACGCTTTGAAATTTTCATCATGCGTTTCCAAGCTTTCCGGAGTAGACGCCTTTAAACTCTTACAATAGTTATGCCAATTGGTTGCTAAAGATGTTCTAGATATCAATAATTCCAATAATATAATTATAGTAAAAAGTTCGCCAATATTATTTATGATATAATGTAGTTGAATGCCATCTGAAAATGGTAGTATAGAAATAATATACACGTAATTTTATTACAGATATATTAGGAAAGGTAAAAACAGTACAGCTACAGTCTATAGGTATACGTCCCACGGCTGGGCAGTGACCACCTCATTTATGAGAGGGTTATAGAAGAACAATAATTAGTCCACCGTGCTGTTTTAGCCTAAGTGTTGGCAGACTTTACATGCCTTCGAAATAATTTGTTCTAAACACATGTTATTATATTCAACTTTTAGTTTTAGCGACTACGGGCGGCGGAAATTTATACTACGCCACAGATTGTCAGTCTGTATTATATGCAAACTAATCTCTCTTTAGAGGCTATTTTATTTTCAATGATTAGGTACAGTCAAACAGCAGAACGTATAACAGAAACTAACGATTATGAAGACGAGTTGATAACAATGAACCCATTTATAAAAATATTGCCCAAATATTAACCTCCACACCAGGCTTTTAGGCTTAAGCCATGACTCATATCAAGAACCGCTTCTGAATTTCTAAACTTGTTCTGCCTTTTTTTATAATACTGAAGTGACAAACGAATTTACAGTTCACCTGATGGTTAGCGGCCCCTGTAGTTCATTGACACCAGCAAATAACTTCAAAAAAAGAAGGTTACAGATGCGTTGTACCTCTGAGGACTCTGGCGGAATGTTTTAAGACTGTAATTATATTGGCTCTTTATCCTTCAGATAGGAATACAGCGGTACAAGTACTGTTATTTGACGGCAGACAGAGGTAAGAGGGTGGTACTTCTTAGTCAAAAATGAGTCCTCCAACGAGTATGTCAAAAGTATCTTATCTTACTACTACGAAATAAGTGTTAGGAATTACGAGTGTAATACACAGAACAGCATTGCAATTAGCTTGATAAGAATGATAAGCAACGTGATTAAATTAACAGCAGCCTGTAGTTATTCACTGCTTGCTACTGGTCTACGTTGTGCTGTCCTCTCCCGAGAAGGGGCTGCCATGAGGCGGCCGGAGATAGTGGGGCTGCGGATGCGCACGAAAGCATTCCCGTGGCCCTGCCAATATGCGGCGAAGGTGGAACACAACTACGTTGTGCTTGTTGTTGACTGCATCGTTAATCTAGTGGTAAACGGGATTGTTGATCAAAAGGTCCCGGGTTGATTTCCGTGTCGGGTTAAAATCAATTATTGGGTTTCTCTGTAAAGAATTTCTCAGTAGCAGCCCGGCGTCATCAACTTGGCGGTGTCTCACCCCCGTGTCTTGGAAAGCACATAAAGCAGTTGGTTCTGTGCCTGGCCTCTCTCCGGCCGTGAGAACCGGCCCACCCGATTGTGAGAGTGAGGGAATAAATTGTGCACCTGCACTTGCGCGCACAGTCCAGCACTATAATCCTCTCCTGGCGTTCACACTGGCCGCTGTGATCGAAATTCGGTCTGGATGACATTATTATAAGTTGTATTAATTGCCTTGCTTGCTAAACAAATGGAAATCATGGCAATAAAGTTTGTGCTATTAAAATAGTTACTGTAGCATTTGTTTGATGATCTGTTGGTCTACTTTTACATACATTACATGATACATTAGGTAACCACGAGTTTTTAACAAATTACAAACTCATAACTAACAACTGGGAGACACTTCAGTTTTCTAACTTTTTCATTAGTTATTTAAAATTTATAGTATTTTTTTATTTAGATGATTATTACACCAAATATTAGCAATTAAGTATATAAAATTTTAATGTTACTTACTAAGATTTATGAGACCTTCTGATACAATAGCAAAAACCTGACAACAAAGATTCTGTAGTGTGTCATTACAGTGTGCCGTAAATGCATTTAACAGACATATTGATTCCATTTGAGAGGCAATGCCACTTTTAGGATATTCTTCATATGCAGCTAGGAAACAGAAATGTCTGCAAAATTATAATTTAATACTGAATTTATGATTTTCTTATAAAGAAACAAGTAATCTGATGAAATAAATAATCCTTAATTTTTTATTCATTATTGGCTTATTTTATTGTATTACCTTTTAATAGACTGTAAATTTGCCACAATTCACCCGCTTAGCAAGCTGAGCTTTTTTTTTTTAATTGCATTACCTGACTTAACTTACTGGTTTGGATAATTTGTATTTGTTAAAAATAGTAGTAATTTATACAACTATGTATTAAAAAAATGAAATGACAAGATGACATCTTCTTTATCCTTATCATCGTTGGTGGTCAGTAGGCAACTCGATAGACTAGTAAAACATAATGATTGAAAGAGTATATCTCTTTGTCCACGAGCCATGAGAAGAAACAGGTTGACAGATCCACATGGACATTATGAAAATAGTTTGGTTTGATTATGTTGCATTAATTATCAAAATTGTAATTCGCTAATAATTATATTTTGGGGGGAAAGTATTGAAAAAGATCGCATCTTTAAAACCTAAAAATGCTGCCTCAGAGCTATGTTCAATTTCAAACTGACAAACAACTCCCTACCTACGTTCAAGTTGTATCAGTTATTCACCGTTCATTATTATTCATAATCTGGAATTAGCCATTTTGTGAAAATAAATAAACATCACTTGCACTTGCCACCTTGCACTAAACTAGAATACGAAGTACAAGAATGAGATAAATCAATATCAGAATTTGTTGTATACCCATTGTGGAGCATATAAAACTAAGAAAAATGTTTAAATGTCAATTTAAACGTGGTAGAGCCATGCTAACAGCTATATTAATTGTATAGTTGTAGCACATATGGTTCGGTTCGACCGAGGAAGGACCATACTCTCAAAGAATACCAGCGTAAAATAGCAGCTTAATGGTGCTGTGTATCGTATGGTGAGTGTAATGAACCGGAGACTCTTTTTACGAGTATTGCAAAAGAGACATTCCATCTTAGTCCTCACGGCTGACAATGCATTTGCATTTTGATTCGCAAACTAAGATAGATGTCTATGGGCCACAGCAACCACTTACCATCAGGTGGACTGTGTGCTCGCTTGTCACCCTTATCTTATAAAAAAAAATATTTTTTTGGGCTTGCATACTGTACATAATATGAATTCCAACAAATTAGTTTAAAGGTTCCAAAAATAATAATAATGATAAAATTGAACATAACTATAAACTTGTGGTACCTAAATATCAGAACCGTTATTATATTTGTATAGGAGTTTGATAATCTATTACGATTTATTCACTCATTGCAACCAATAACACACACTTCACAAACAAACTAATTGTAGCTAAGTAATAACTTTTAAAAATGGTTATTTATGTCTAAAATGCATGTAAATAACCCCCTGAGCTTAAAAGAAGGCAGTTATTTTGATATTACAGACAGACCTTTCAATTTTATTTATATGTATAGATGTGTTTGTGAGAATACCTTTAGACATTAAGTACACCTTTGTATCCTTTTTATATGGGAATGCAGTAAAGATTTAAAAAAATGTACATAATTAAAAAGTTCTAACCTAATGTCCAAATACATAAACACAAATTAAATCTGCTACTTGCTTAACTTAGTTAGGTCAATCAAAATTAGGCATTCAACTTACTATTGTCTAATTTTGATTTAAAAATTTGATGTTCATATACATAACAATGGTACTGAGGGCCACAGGTTTGAATACCACCAGAAAGAATTATTTTTGTAGGGATTATACAGGGTTATTTTTCAACATATATCAAACAATGTGAGAATTATTATGACGTAAAGTGTGGAAACCTCTGCTCCTCCGTGCTCATCGAAAAAAAACATCAGCATATCAGTCATTAAGAACGCATCAAGTAATTCTCCAGACACTACCATCCACAAATCAAACCAAAAGTGAAACTGATAGCGTTGCCAAAAGACGCTTATTAATATTTGGAGCTCAACGTTGTAGTAAATTAGCATCTAGATCGATCAAATTCCGTTATAATACTAAATATGAACATTATTATATATATGCTTGCATTAAACCTTTTGCAACAACTGAGGAGATTATAAGAAACTTGGAAAATCTTACACTAAAACCTGATCATAAAATAATATTAAGCATAGGAGAAAACGATTTTAACCCAACAAAACTATTCATAGAACTGTCAGCAGTCCTAACAAAATTACAATAATTATAATAATCACTTAAATATTAAACCACCTATTCAAGTGGTAATAAAACTGGTGTATAACGCATTTTGTCAGAAAGGTGCCTTCAAAAAAGTTATTATTCAAACAATGTAAGTTGCCCCGATCCACAGCATACACCTACACTTAAGCAGGAAACCATTCTAGACTATTTTTCGAAAGCTTGCCTGAAAACGTATCCAAACTCAGTTTTACTCAGCCTTTTTTTCGTTCACAATGATGAAAATACTTTTGCTACAGTAACATTAATTCATCAAAATATCGCGGGATTATTGACCAAAATTGATTTGTTAGAATTATATGTCAATGAACTAACGGAAAATTACAAAGAGATTACTCTTATCTGTCTCACCGAAACCTTTGTAAAAAAAGGAGAAGTATTGAACATTAAACTGAAAAACTTCAAAGTTGCTTCCACATTCTGCAGATTAAAAGAAAGACGTGGTGGAGTGTGGATAATCACAGATAAAGCACTTCTCTCTACGCTCATCAATTTACGTAATGATATAACAGTTGAAAAATATTTTGAATGTTGTGGAATTCAAGTACCGGCCTACAAATGTAAAATAGTCTGCGTGTTAGGATAGCGAAATTACCAGCTTCTTTATTTTTTAATAAACCAGATACACTACTCTTTAAGCTAACGACAAAGAGCAACATAAAATTTATTCTATGCGGTGAATTTAATATTGATACGCTTAAAGAAAACAGCACAAGCGAAGAGTTGGCAAATTTAATGCATAACTATAATCTTATACTTCACATTAATAAACCGACTCGTCAACACACATGAGAAACATAAATAAACATCTATTGATCATACATAGAACGTCCCTATAGTTCCTATTCCAGAATTATGCAAACAATAAACACATACATACATATATACATACAGTAGGCAGAGACCACTTCTTTCCACTTGCTACGACCCTTACATACTTGTTTCGCTTCGCCACTTTCATTATTCCCTTCATACATGCTCTACGGTTTAATAAACACATTCATTGGATAAATAGTGACGGTATAAAAATTATAAATCCTAATAACAACAAACATAGAACCATAAAACGCGCTTAGACAACCTCGAGTATAACATATTTTTACGACGATGCTCCGTAAATTAAATTATAAGAATAATTAAATCCTTAAATAATACAAAGTCTGTGGGTAATGATTCAGTCTCTACTCATATACTAAAGCTCATGTTATAGGTCCTATTCTTGCAAAACTCGTAAATCTATCGTTCACACAGAGCACGTTTCCCAAAAAACTCAATTGTGAAGCCGCTCTATAAAATTAATTCATGTGTTCAATTTATGTGTAGATAAGGGTATTTATCCACATAGGCTTAAAAGGACTTATTTATAAACAAGGAAACTATAAAAATTATGAAAATTACAGACCTATTGCTATACTTTCTGTCATAAACAAGATAGTCGAAAAAGTAATTGTTAAACAAATAACAGATTTCTTAGAGGATAATTTTATATTAGGAGATCATCAGCATGGATTTCGAAGATAGGAGTACAGCTACAGCCATAACTAACTTTACAGACTATATAAATGAAAGGTAACATGTAGTAGGCATATTTATTGATTTTAAAAAGCTTTTGACACTTTAGAACATAATCTCTTGTTGAAATCAATGGATGAATGTGGTAATCGAGGTCCTATGAACAACTGGCTAGGTAATTATTTGCTAAATAGGAATAGTGACAGTTATTAGAAATATATCTGGAAAAGAGGAAAATGTAAAGTCAAGTGTACCTACTAGATCCGTATATGGACCAGTGGGCTATATAATGCACGTCAACAGTATATGTAATGTAATCGAACACTGTGCAAATTATGTATGCGGATGACATGTGCATCCTTTATGCTGACAAAAATCAAGATGAAATAGAGAAAAATATACAAAGTGATTTAACAACATATCTAAGTGGTCTCATGATAATGGAATTATTATTAACACAGCAAAAACTAAAGGAATGCATATGCAATCACCGCCATAATATTAAAAATGCAAAATAATATAAGATAGTGGGTCACTCATACCAATGTATACACGAAAATCTGCTTAATGTAAATTAAGATTTATTTTATTTAAAGAAAATATTTATTTAAAAAAAATTATATTTTATTTAAAGGCGTGTCGTTGCAAAATACCAAAAATTACGAATCCAAATACCCCTTTAAAGACCTTACTTCAAAATATCGAATTAGCAGATCCAAACGTAACATTCAGGAAAAAAACTATAAATGAACATATTAACATAAGTGCTAGCGATATTATTATAGCATAGATGACATTGCGGAAAACACTCTTCTGAGTCAAACCATTGACAAAAATGCAAGTACCACAGCAACAACACTCAAAGAAGACGTGGGAATTAGCACATCGCTAACGCTAGAACAAATTGGTAGTTTATTGGATACAAAACTGGAGCGCATGAAAACTTGTATACTTTCAGATGTAAGGAGCATAATTCAAGATGAAATTAAGAATTCTTTAAAAGATTTTAAAAATGAAATAGAAAACGATCTAAACAGTAAATTAATACATTCTCAAAAGCAACTACAAAAAGAAATATAAAATCTCAACAAAAAAATTATGAATATTGAAGAACTCTACAATTTGAAAAACTCAAAGAAAATAGTACTGTATGGCCTCATGGAAGGGTACTCTGAGACTGAAAACGAGCTAGTAGGTCGTGTTTCAAGGTTGTTCCATGATATATTAAACATCAATATATGCCCTTACATAGAAGAAATCAAACGCCTTGGGAGACGTGGAAACCGTCTCTTGCGATAGATTAATAAGTAAAAGGATGTCCGATTTTGTAATTAATAATGCGATCAAGTTTAAAAATACTGGATTATCCATAGGAAAATTCGTCAGTTGAAAAACACTAGAAGAAAGGAAGGAACTCATCAGAAATATGAAAACAGCGAGGACAAATGGACAAAACTATACACAAATACCGGTAAATCTACAACTACGAACCGGACGGAAGGCCCAAGCATATCCACAAAGGACGTCGATATTCCTGATTCTACCCCACTAGCTTCTATGCAATACCAAGAACAATCTTCGCCAGATACCATGCCACATAACTCTACTACGCGTCAACAGATCGGGACATTTCAAAAACAATTTCGATAAGTTATCTTTAAGTTTTCAGAATATTCAAAGTATCGGTAATAAAATTGATATACTTGAACAAATAATGTTAGAAACAGATGTTGATATACTGTCATTATCTGAATTGTGGAAAGATGAATACTATCTTAATTCCTTAACAATCCCAGGCTATACAATTGCATCTTACTTTTGCCGGAAATATAGACAAGGAGGTGGAGTTTGCTTAATATTAAAAAACAAATTAGAGTTTATAGAAAGAATTGATATTGTAAATTATTCCAAAGAATTTATTGTTGAACTATGTGCAATAGAAATTCCTGATACCTGATAAACACTTAGAATTATTTTTTAAGCAATTAAATACACTTCTAAATAAACTTAACACAAAAGAAAATAAATAAATATATTATAATCGCGAGAGACTTTAACATAAATATTTTAAATAAAAACAAAATTACACGCAACTTTTTGAATTTCATGGCTTCACACAACCTTAAACAATTAATAAATAAACCAGCGAGAGTTGCTAAAGAGTCCTCCAATTGCATTGACTTACTATTTACTAATTATTCATCCCTTGTAAAGAAATCTCAAGTAATTGACTATGGGATCTCAGATCATAAAGCAATAAACATTGAAATTGATACAAGTAATTTATTAATAAAACAAAATATTACGTACTTTAAGCAAAAAAGACTATTTACCAATGTTAATATAAATATATTTAAGGAATCACTAAATAAAATAAAATGGGAGAATATAATAAACAGTAATAAAGGATTAAATGAAAACTACTCGCATTTCTTAACTAGTTTAACAAAAATACTGAATAAACATATACCACTACAAAAAATTAAAATTAAAAACTACAGTACTAAAAAAAGTTGACTTTCGATGGGATTAAAAAAATCGTGCAGACATAAAAGATTATTAAAAATAATGCTAAATGAAACTAAAAACGAAGTTATACGAACACATTACAATACTTACAGTAAAATGTTAAAAAAATGTATAAAAATATCCAAAAGAATAGATTACATTAAACAAATGCAAAAATCTGACAATAAAACTAAAACTATGTGGAAAATTATTAATAATAAAACCGGTAAAAATAAAATAAAATTACCTCAAAATATAATTTTAAAAGAAAATAATACATTAATTTCTTCCCCCCACATCGTAACAAATATGTTCAACGAGTACTTTGCCACTGTAGGTCAATGTTCTAACTCCAATAATATGGTAAATAGACATCCCGTAATAAATCCACCAACAAACTCTTTCTTTTTAACCCCTGTTGATCCAAGAGAAATAATGAATATAATTAAAAATATTAAAAATAAACATAGCTGTGGCATTGATGATATACCACCATTCCTGGTAAAGAAATGTGCAGAAATATTAGCTATCCCTTTAGCTTCACTTATAAACCAAAGTTTTGAAAATTCTCAGTTTCCGGATGCACTAAAAATTTCATTAATAAAACCAATATTTAAAAAAGACGACCCCCTAACGCTTAGTAACTATCGACCCATAGCCCTACTTCCCACGTTTGCTAAAATATTTGAGAAAGCCATGTGTAACTGACTCTATCATTATTTAGAAAAATAAAATATATTAGACGAATCACAGAACGGTTTTAGAAAAAGTAGATCAACAACTCTGGCAGTATATAAAAATATCCAAACGGCAGTGCAAAATATTGATAATAAAAGAGCCACCATAGGCCTCCTTTTGGATATGACGAAAGAATACGATAAAGTTCAATTTAATATACCTTTAAATAAATTAAAGGGTTCGGGAATTCGTGGAACGGCCTATAAATGGTTCCAATCATATTTGACAAACAGGAAGCAGATAGTTCAAATCGAACACAGCAACGATGAAAAACGGGAAATCGTTGTAGTTCAGTCCCAAATCCGGGACCTCACATGTTCAATACCACAAGGTAGTGTCTTAGGATGCCTATTGTTTTTAATATACATAAACGATTTACCCAAGATAATAAATAACGAAAACACATTAAGCATACTCTTTGCCGACGATGTGTCAGTGTTAGTGAACTGCGATAAAAAAACAAATTATAACTATATTGTCTACAACACTACAAACTATAACAAATTGGCTTGAAGATCACAACTTAGAAATTAACTTTAAAAAGACCAAAATTATGCAATTTAAGACATATAAAAGCAGCCCATTAACTTTAAACATAAACTTTAATAATATACAGCTAGAAGAAGTTGATACTTTTAATCTTTTAGGTTTGAAAGTAGATTCAAACATCAATTGGAAAACGCACATTAATTATATAGTCTAAAATTTCAAAATTTACGTATGCTTTATTTCAAATTAAGTACACCACTGACACAGCGACGGCATTGTCAGCTTACTATGCTTATGCTCATTCGTGGCTTAAGTACGGAGTTATGTTGTGGGGAAGTAGCGTCGATGTGCAGCAGCTTTTTATTACCCAGAAGAAGTGCATTAGAGTACTAGCCCAGATAAATAACACTACTAGATGTAGACCGTATTTCAAACAACTAAATATTCTTACCTTACCCTGTATGTACATTTATGATCTATGCCTGTTTGTCCACAAAAATAATAATATTTTTAAGAAGATTAAAGATACACATAATTTAAATACACGTAACAAAAATAAATTATACCTACCACAGTCACGAACAAAAATGTTAAATGCAAGCCCCTACTATATAGCAATAAAAATATATAATAAATTACCACAGGAAATAAAAAATATATCAGAATTAACGAAATTTAAATCAAGACTCGGTAAATATTTAAAACAAAACCCCTTCTACTCAGTAGAAGAGTATTTAAATATAAAATAACATTATTATATATTTTAATATTTTTTTATAGTTTTTAATTATATTTTATGTATGTTAATAGTATATAAGCTGTGCCCTTGTCAAATTTGCAGTGCCCAAAAAGGGTGTCTAAGTTGTAAGCACATTTTTAATTTAAGACCAATTATGTACACTCGAATTGCAAATAAATGATTTGATTTGAATATGCAATTATAGAATTTGTAAAACATTTCAAATACCTAGGCATATGAATAGACAGAAATATGAACTGGTGTAGCCATATAGAACAGGTGTATAATAAATTAAGAGGTATATTAAGTAAATTCCATTTTTTGAAGAAAGTAACATCTAAAGCCGTACTGTATGTTGTTTATTACGCACTAGTTGAGTCAACGTTCCAATATGGATTAGTAGCATATGGAAGGACTTTTAAAACATATATAGATAAATTAAAGCCGTTTCAAATTAGATTTATGAAAATATTGGCTAACCCAAAAGCTAAAATTAAATTGAATGCAATTCATGGGCAACAAATACCATGCACTCGCTCTTCTGTGTGATTCAATTCACAATGTTTATGCCAATCGAGCGACCCTTACAAATATGTGCATGCATAGTAAAATAGTAGGATATTTATGAATGATAATTAGTTAAAATAACGCATTACCACGCATTCTGAATTTAAAAGATAAAAAGGACAGAATGTTGGGGATGTTTTTAATTAATTTTTCTTTACCATTCGCCTTTATTACTTATTCTGTAACTTTTCAAAAGCCTATGTTCAACAGCATACTTATGAAGGGCTGTTATGATGATAATCTGGGTATTATGTGTTATGTGGTAGAGCCATGTTACATCTATATTAGTAGTATAGTTGTAGTATGAATGGGTCAGCTTGACCAAGGGGAGACTACACTCTCACAGCATACCAGCATTAAATAGCAACTTAATGCAGCTGTGTTTCATTTCAACTCTTTTTACTGAAAACAAGGCATTGTTAGTCCTCACGGGTGACAACGTTTCTACATTTTATTTTTTAGTCAAGGATAAATGTAGATGTCTATGGACCACAATAACCACTTACAATCAAGTGGACTGTGTGCTCGTTTGTCACCCTATAAAAAATGTACATTGTGCAACTTATGTCTAATAAATGTCTTTACAATACAAGGGAAATTGAATATGTACCTTTTTAAACAAGGTAAAAAACATTTGTTGTAAAATTCAAAGGCTGGGGAATGCAGGTTCTATAGAAAAAGGTTCTGCAAAACCAGAACAATTATTTTTAATAATTCCAGGTTCTAGTCACATTTATGATTGTAAAACTTCCACAACATGAGAACTTCCTGCATTGAAGTTCTTCATAAAAAAAAATCTTATTCCCATAATGCCTTGTAGACAGACGCCTACAATTTGGTTTGCTTCGTCATTCCTGCTTTTCAATTTTCTGCACCAGGTAAAACAGGAATGATAAAGCGAACCGTAGTAGGGTTAAATCTTGTGGTATGTTGGCAACAAAAAGATGAAAACCTGCTATGCATCTGGTTGATATGGTGGAAAGGAGAGAAAGGAGGAATTAGTCGCATTATTCCTGAGCACTCAAATAATACCTGTAAAAACCACATTATGACCATTTAAGCTTAACAAACCTTTCAAATGCTTCTCTTTTCAAAGTTGTTACCTCAACACATAGTGAACATAAAACACCTAATACTTTTGACATTACGGTATTATCAGAAGCTACTAAATGTGGAATTGGGGTAAGTTCATGGGGAGCGATCTCCACTCTTATGGGAATAAAAGATTTATTTTCCACTAGAATTCCATGATTGCATATAGATATATGATCTTGAAATTGTTTTTTGAAAAATTGTCCAAAACTCCTAAGTATGTAAGTGCCAGCTTCTTTTTCTATATCACTTTTCATTTTTTAGATATTTTAACTTGCAACAAAACACAAAATTACAACACATAGAAATTATTTTATAAGTAAATAAACTCTTCTTTTTGACAAATGACATTGGATTGGCATTTGATTTGTTGTTGTTGTTTTCATTATTCGCTCAAACGAGCAGGCAAAGGACGAAAGCCATACAGCCTTGTCTTTTTTATTTTGAATATATAGAATTTTAAAGTGTAAAGGCCGGAACCAAGTCTTATTTTTCTTCTTTCCATCTCTTCAAAATCCATAAAGGCCGAAGCCAAGTCTTATTTTCTTTAATTCTTCATATTTTCAAAAACCGTAAAGGCTAAAGCCAAGTCTTCTTTATATTATAATCTTTGTAAGTTTCAATCCATGTAGATTTGTCCATCCAATATTTTCAAAAACAGGGATACCATATTTCATATTTCTTTTACAGTATTATGAATAAAATTTCAAAGTGCTAAATATGTCTTAGTATTCTTAAGAACATCTTGCAGGCCACGCGGGACGTTTTCTGAGTTTTCATAAACTTGTATAAGTTTTTCAATGATTAGCAATCTTTCTATGGCGTACGCTGGGCAGTTAAATATTATATGTTCTGCAGTCTGATCTGCTTCTGTAACGCTGAAGTTGCATGTTGCAGATGCTACTATTCTCACCCTGGAAAGATGAGCGTTCAGTCGATAGTGGCCAAATCTAAGTCTGCACATTATTGTATAAAATTTTCTGCTATGATATCTCTCGTTGCGAGAAAACCAAGGAATACTTAATTCTGAATTAATTGATGCATACCAACGACCTTTTCCTGCTTCTAAAACAGCATTCCATTGCATTTTCCATTCTTCTTTTAACTGTTGCCTTAAAATTGAATATAAATCTGTATGTGATATTGCAACACCAGTTATCCTGTCAATATCAGCTGTAACTATACTTTTAGCTAAATGGTCTGCGCTTTCATTTCCTTGAACACCAATATGTGACGGAGACCATATAAATTTTACTTCCAAATTATTTTCTTTCAATTTCCACCACAAACTTTTGATTTCAGATATGATGAAAGACGTTTAAGCATCTAAAGTTCTTGCCTTCAGTGCCTTCTAGACACTCATATTATCAGAGATCAGTAACCATTTAAAATGGGCCCTATACACGATCGGCCATGATGGAGGAATACTAGCGATCACGATCGTGTGGAGGGCATGATCGCCTATAATCGCCCATGACCGGTTATGATCGAGTGTAATCGCCTCTGTGTCGGTTTTTCAGACAATCATCAAAGAAAGTTCGGCCATGATCGTGAGCGCATCTACATGATCGCCGATGCTCTATAATAAATTTACCTTGTTTTATTTCGATGTATAGTTAACATCCACCTTTTTTGGTTATTTTTCTTTTCACCATTCTTTTAAGGCGTACATTTAAATAATGCTTATACATATAAAACGTACGTTTAAAAAAGATTAGAAGTCTAACCAGTGTTGAAACAGCTAGACTAGTTCACTTCAGCTACTTCCATAGCATAATGTCGTATGGTATTTTGCTATGGGGACACGCAGCTGACACTGAAATTATATTTGTTTTGCAGAAGAGGGCCATAAGAGCAATTTATGATTTAAAGCCTAAAGAGTCGCTGCGATAAAAATATAAGGAAATTAATATATTAACTTTGGCCTCTCAATAAATTTATGAAAAAGTAATGTACGTACACAAAAATAAAAGTAGTTTTACAAAAATAAGTGATATTCATTCTGTAAATACTAGGAACAGACACAAGCTAGTAGTACCAGATACTCGACTCCATCGAGTCAGTAATTCATTCTTGGGGCGATTTATACGCTTTTACAACAAAATTCTAGAAAATATACAAAGTTTGAGCTGTTCAAAGTTCAAAAACTTTATTAAACTAAGTTTGTATAAAAAGGGTTATTATAATATTAAGGAATTTATGGATGATAATAAACCCTGGAAATGAGGTGATCGCTACCAAGCTATTTCTAATTTGTTGTGTTGTTAATTTGTGTAACATCATGATTGTAAGCTGTTATTTAAAAAAAAAGTCCCGCTGGGTTTCTTGCTGGTTCTTCCCAGGACAGAGATTTTTTCCGAACCAGTGGTAATCAAACAAAAGAGTGACTTTCAATAAGTATTATTTATAATCTATATTGAATAAAAAAGTTTCTGTTTCTGTTTCTGTTAAAAACAATTAAGTATATAAATATCGGCAGCTGCAACTGTTTCAACGTCCATCTCAGACAGATGACAATACAAATATGTAGGATGCACGAACGTGTGGGCAGCCGCACAGTGATTGTGACAATATTATGTTGATGCGTCAGATTGTGCAGCCCTTGGGAGATTTTGACGGCAACTTGAGCCAGCAGATAGCTGATATTTTGCGATGGTATCTCAAGGTGCCTAAATAGACAGATACCTTATCTTGAGAATCACATCACAATCAGAGCACTTGTTTCACCAATTTCACTAATAGTTCACATGCGCAGACATTTAACACACAAAATCGCACCACTTTTACATATCAAAATCCACTTAAAATCATTATTTTAAACAATAATACAGGAGCAGCAATCCATCGCCGGTTTAGTTCCCGCTAAAACTCCCAAAGGGTCCCAACCACAAACTATAAGAAGATAAGAAGTTGTAGTGCTAGCAACTATTATTCATTATACCTCGAGGTAAACCTCGCAGATCTGCGTTTCGCTTGGTGAGTGCAGGTGGCCGGAGGCCCTTTTTACTGGAAATGAGGCATTCCATCTTAGTCCTCACGGGTGACAACGCATCTACATTTTGATTTGTAATAGAGGATAGATGTAGATGTCTATGGGCCGCAGTAACCACTTACCATCAGGTGGACTGTGTGCTCAATGGTCACCCTTATACTATAAAAAAAAATCTTCCCGTGAGTGTCGTAAAAGGCGACAAAGGGAAACAGGCAGGAGATGGGCAGCAGCATCTTCCTGATAACAGCAAACTTACAATAAAAAACTGCGGTTGCCAACTCGCTCGCCAAGCGTAGCAACTATGGCCAATGCCGCCCTATGATGAGAGCAGCAATGAGACGGCCCCCAGTCCCCGGCGGCCCCACTATTCCTGGCTACGGTGGCGACCATGGTAACGGCGGGGCAGGTGGTGCTAAGAATCTCCGGTGGAGGTTCGGTTGCCACCTAAGACGACTCGACCTGGCAACATACAACGCACGCACCCCGAGGACTGACGAGAAGATCGTGAAGCTGGAAGAAGGGATAGACAAGTTGCGCTGGCATATTATAGGAATTTTTTTTTATAGGATCGGGTGACAAACGAGCACACAGTCCACCTGATGGTAAGTGGTTACTGTGACCCATAGACATCTACATCTATCCTTAATAAAGACTCAAGATGCAGATGCGTTTTCACCCGTGAGGACTAAGATGGAATGCCTCTTTGCCAGTAAAAAGGGTCTCCGGTTCTCCACACTCACCATACGAAACACAGCAGCGTTAAGCTGCTATTTTACGCTGGTTTTCTGTGAGAGCGTCGTTCTTCCCCGGTCGAGCCGACCCATTTGTGCTACAACCATAATATAGCTGCAGCATGGCTCTACCAAAATTATCCGGATTATCCGAGGTCCGAAGAGAGAGGGAGGACACGGTTATCCTTGATTCCGGCAACTTGCTCTATCACCGGGAGGGCGACCATCTGTCCCAAGAAGGTGTCGGATTTATCGTCCACAAGTCTCTCATTAACAACGTTGTAAAGATTGAGAGTGTGTCGACGAGGGTTGCGTATCTTATACTCAGAATCACCAAACGGTATTCGCTGAAGGTCATACAGGTTTACGCACCAACCTCGGCACATCCCGATGAGGAGGTGGAAGAAATGTATGAGGATATCTCTAGAGCCATGCATTCCTCCAAAACCCACTATACGGTGTTAATGGGAGACTTCAATGCAAAACTAGGCACAAGAGAGAACGGTGAGCTGAAAGTAGGGAAATTTGGAATAGGGCAAGGGGCCAGCAGCTGGCCGACTTCATGGAGAAAGAGGGACTCTTTATGATGAACTCTTTCTTCCAGAAGCAGTTCCACAGGAAGTGGACCTGGTCGAACCCCGACGGTTCCACAAAAAATGAGATTGACTTCATTATGACGACCAGACGACAACTGTTCAGTGATGTCTCCGTGATCGCGAGGGTGAAAACTGGTAGCGATCACCGAATTGTTAGAGGCACACTGAAGCTAAACGTTAAGTTGGATAGGTCTCGTCTGATGAAGTCAACGCTCCGTCCCCCTCGTGCTCTGCCCCAAAGTCCCGAAACCTTCCAACTCGAGTTACAAAACCGTTTTCAGTGCCTAGATGAGTGCAATAAAGTGAACTGTCCATGCGGTCGGAGCTAAGTTCTGCAAGACCCGCCGCAGAAGAATACAAAATTCTCCGATCACACTCTTAATCTCATGGCTGTTAGACGGGAGAAGAAGCTACATTCTTCAACAGATTTGACAGCATACAGGCAACTGAACAGACAGATCTCCAAATGCATACGGCGGGACTTACGCAACTTCAATACAAGTTGTATTGAAGAAACGATCGAGCGGAACCAAGGCTCCAAAGTCTTTGCCAGAGATCTGTCTGTCAGAAAGGGCCAACTGTCAAAGCTGAAGACCGAGTGTGACAGCATCGTTTCCGGGACACCTGAGATTTTGAGTGAGATTGAGAGGTTCTATGAGCAGCTGTACACGTCATCGTTGGAGCCACACGGAAGTGTGAGTAACGATTCAAGAGCGAGTCTTATTCGACACTATTCCGAAGATATCCCGGACGTCAGTCTGAGCGATATTAGATCGCTCTCCAGCACCTTAAAAACGACAAGTCTACAGAGTTTTACCTTTATCAGCTTGCGCGGCTTGAGATGTTATCGTATTTAACATTCCGATGGGTTAAGTTATCGCTAGAATCTGCATAAATCAATGTGGCGCATTAGCTTATTGTATGTATAGAATTTTGTAAATATATGTATAATAGTTTAATAGTAAGACTAGCTTGGGTTGAACTTTTTATATTTCGGCTGTAAGACCAATGATCATGTCATAAATTAAAAAAAAATGTAATTTGTCAAATGTCAATGTCAAATTGTGAATGTGATAAAAACTGTTTTCAATCATAATAAATAGAATTTTTAAACTTCATTTACATATTTTTCTGTTTTGCAGTTGATTTAATTTTAAAAAGGCAGTCCATTGATTGAGTATTAATTGTGCAGAAACTTGTAGACATAATACAAAATGGACCAAATGCTGCCAAGTCCATATAACATACCTGGTATAGGTACCCCCCTACATCAACCAGAAGAGGATCAACAAATCTTACCAAATGCAATGCAGCAACAACAACATCATCAGCAGCAGCAGCAGCAACATTCCTTAGCTTCCTTAGGTTCTTCACCACTTGTAGGATTTGGTGCGTCCTTAATGGGCACACCTCAAAGATCTATACACACTTATGCACCAACCGCTAGTTATGCGACACCACAGCAAATGATGCAACCGCAAACACCGGTAATTTATTCATATTTGTTTTTAATTTTTTGGTACCTACTTCAATTTTACTATATATAACAGAATTTGCTACATTGCCTACTGATGAGCTCAAGCTCTTTAAATTTTAACATCTTTTTCTCAGCACCTGTGGTTTTGCTCAAATTGTTGATTTCATATTTACACTATAAAGGGTCTATTCTACCAAAAAAGAAATTGCTGCTGTAAAAAGCGGCGGAAACTATTGCACAGTGCTTCCGAATTTATCTTCCTGTGGGTGTCATAAAAGGCGACAGGGAAACTGAATCACAATATCTATCTGATAATAAGCAAAATAACTTTAAAAAAACTACAGTTGCTAACCTGCTCGCTAAGCATGGCAACTATGGCAATATACCCCTATTGACCATGCTTTGTGGCATTCTTTCACGGAGGCCTATGTTCAGCAGTGGACTTGTGGAGGACTGTAATGATGATAATGTATATAATATGTATATTAAAAGTAAAAAGCCATCATTAAAAAAGAATTTCCTACAAAGGATTAAAATTATTACCAAGTTATGTAGTTGAGTCAACAAGTTCAAAAACTTGAATATGAAAATGAAAGTATTAATTCTTGTTTCCGCTCTTAAAAATATCTGCACTAGCTCATTAGATTAGTTATGACATCTAGAACAATGTATCTTGATGATTTAAGCATATATAACATAGCCATATATAACATACTTAGTACTAAAAAATATTTAAAACTTTTTATAACAAATTTTTATTAAAATAACATTTTGAGTACTTCGTTATTTATGGCTGTTTTTGTAATTTTTTGCTTTAAGGAAAAAATAAACCGGGGGTTAAAAGTTGTTTTAAATAAATTGTTAACTTAATAAACAATGAAATTATTTATTTAAAAAATTATTTTTGTTAACCTATAGAGAAATGCCAATTATGAGTTTTATAGAAAAAAAATTCTTACTTAATTATTTAAACAATCGAAATATATAAAAAAAAGATTATAAACATATTTCAAGAATTTTTTTAAAAAAACTTATTTTGCCATGACAATAAAATGGTAAATTTTTCAAAAATATTAAACTTGTCTATTTTGTTTATTTACAATTTCTTAAAAAATTGCAATTTTTTTGCAAGTGTTCTGATGATACCATCGTTTATTCAAAAATATTAAACTTGTCTATTTTGTTTATTTACAATTTCTTAAAAAATTGCAATTTTTTTGCAAGTGTTCTGATGATACCATCGTTTATTCAAAATTTTAAATTAATATTTAATACTATCAGAAAATATTTTATGTGATATACTGTCTTCAGCGGCAATGCGCTCTATCTGTAAACATCGCGCGGAGTTCTATTTTCGGCACTAAATATAAAATAATAAATAATGAAGTTAGAATTCCGGGAATTGAGACATTTTCATTGGAAATTTTCTCCTCTTTAAGGATATTTTTTTAAAAGTTCTTAAATATTAATAGTTTTTGAATTATTAAAGAAAAACTTTCTCTCTTAAAAAGAAAATCTTTTTTTTTCATCTTATTTTTGTTAATAACAATTGCAATTTTTTATGTGCTAATAAATTGTTGAGGTACATTTTTCTAGACATCATTACAAATCGAATGAGGTCTTCGAACTTGTTGACTAGACTAATGGTGTAAAAAGTTAACTACGGTTTTGTAAAAAGCTATAGAGGGGAAATGAATACAGGAGATGGGTAGCAGCATATTAAAATTATTGCATTGTCAAAAGGGTCAAAAATATAAACTGAAAAAGGTAATAAAAGACTTCAAAGAATAAATAATTTCCACAATTTAATAGCTCCTTAAAATCAGATCTTCAATTCCTCAATACACTGTCTTAGTACATATTTCTGAAGCCATTAAAATAAGGAGGAAATAATTTTCCATGTGTTAAATCCATTATAGCCTATGAAAGTCCACTGCTGAACATGGCCCTCCCCCATAGATTGCGTCATAGAGGGAATCCCACCTGGCAGATTGTCAACTGTGGTTTTTTGTAATTTTGAGTTGATATCAGGAAGATGCTGCCATCCATCCATCTCTTGTTCCAGTTTCCCTCTGTTGCCTCTCTTGTTCCAGTTTCCCTCTGTTGCCTCTTATGGCACCCACTAGACGATGTGAGGTAGTGGATTCTTTTACACTGCCATTTACATGTTTTAAAATAAATAAGGAATAATTGAATGTTTTTATTAATTGTTAGCAAAATATGATGTCACCAATGATCACAAGTGGCAGTCTTGTGGGGCAGCAGGTTCTTGGTCAAGCAAGTCCAGCACCTATGACTCCCATGACCCCGCACTCAGCTGATCCAGGAATTTTGCCTCAATTGCAGTAAGTGATCTCTGATGTAATCATATACTTTGTTCCAGAATTTCTACTTTATTAACATTACTCAATTGCATTATAGAATATCTTTCATTTCATTCATCTGGTTGCTGTTAAATATTTAACCTGAAGTAGTATAATGTCCTCCAGTTCGAATATCAATTACAGTGGCCAGTCTGAGTGGGGAATAGCCATCTGCGCAGAACAGGATTATAATGCATTCTGTTCTGCTCAGTTTATGCAAACACAGGAAAAATCTCTGTACCCACAATCTCATAGTGCGATGGGACAATAATCCTACACAACCAGTGAGAGTTTAGGTGCAATACTAAAGGCATTACATGCTTTTTGAGGCACAGGGTTGAGACTTCACCCATTTCCTGAAGTCCAGGCTGTTGTCTTAATTTATCTTAATAGAAAAACCCAATTGCTGATTTTTGCCAGACCCAGGATTCAAACCCGTGATTGGTAGTCCCGCAATCAGTAGTCTAAACCAAGGAGTAAGAGTAGTTACTGTAAGCATTAAAGAGAGCAGGTTTTGTACATAAATAAAACAGTGGCAAATAATTAAAATATATGAGGCAGCAGTGTATGAAATGATGTATCTTCTTCTTTAGTCCATAAAAGTCTATTTACTGCTGAACAAAGGCCAATTTAACACATTAAATTCAGACAGAAAACATTATATTCAAAATTAATTATTCAGTATTTTTCTTATATAGAATAAAGGTGACAAACAAGCACACAGTCCACCAGATGGCACGATGCTGTGGCCCATAGGCATTTGGATTTATCCTCGATTAAGAATCAAAATGCGGATGCATTGCCACCCCTTAGTACTATGGTGAATTGGCTCATTTCTAGTAATAACAGTCTCTCGTCCTCTACACTCATCATACAAACACAGCAGCATCAAGCTATTTTACGCCTGCAATAATATTAGGGTTGTAGGTGTAGAGATTGAAAGATACTTCACTTGTTCAGGTCCATTTATTGAATGCAAGCATAAAAGCCAATTGCAATAGTATTAAAATACTAAGATAATAGGTAAATTATATTGCTTGGTGTTTATCATATCATTCATTTCTGTCATGATCTAATAACACTTCCGATAGGTACATACATGCATATAATTTTATCTCATATATACTACACCCCAGTTGAGAAGACCCAATTTGTGGTGCAACAATAATATAACTGTGACTTTACTATACCATGATCTCATAGTTGTTATAGTGTTTTAAGGTGGGTGAACCCTTGTAAGCAATAAAAATTACTTGTATTTGGTAAATAGTGAACGCTTATATAAAATGTAAACTTAAAAAATTAATTAAAACTACATATGAAAAGATTTCGAAAGTGAATGAGAAGAATTTGAAAGTTATGAAAGTTTTCAAAATGATATCTAAAGTATTTTTTACATTGTAGGTATATATGTTATCAAAGAATGTATGTTATTTCTTTGTATAACACTCAATCTTGTGTTAATTAAAGAAACATGTAACTAATTAAAATATGTCCATATCTCTTTTTTAGAAACATTGTATCAACTGTTAATCTCAATTGTAAGTTGGATTTAAAGAAAATAGCACTTCATGCTCGTAATGCTGAATATAACCCAAAGCGATTTGCTGCTGTTATCATGAGAATCAGAGAACCAAGGACTACTGCCCTAATATTTTCTTCAGGAAAAATGGTTTGCACTGGTGCCAAAAGTGAAGAAGACTCAAGGCTAGCTGCTAGAAAGTATGCTAGAATTATTCAGAAGCTTGGATTTACTGTAAGTTTTTCCGTTTGTGTCAATTTAATTCATTCTTCTATTAATAGTAAAAAGTGTATCATGTAGGAAATAGTATTCGAAATTCATAAGATTTCTGCTTCTACACTTTATTTTATAGCATGGACAAGGAGTTGTGTGTGTTTTATAGAATGTGCTTTTATTATGCTAAGGCAGCATGATTTACCATCTAGGGCTTCCTCATTACTTACAACCAGTTGAGATTGTCATCAAGTACTGACTTATAATAAGTGCGATAAGGATTAAATCCAGTTTATTATTAGAATAACTTAATAGTTAAAAAAAAATAGTCAAAGAAAGATAAGAATGCATTAAACATTAACATTAATAATTATATTGATTATTACAATGATCATCAACATGCTGGTTTCCCCAAAAGACAAGCTATAGCTATCTGCATCCATCAACCCCTGCAATGCTACACAATTTACTAAACGGAAAGCCATCAAGAGTGGCCATTCACACCCTCCTGTCTATTTGATTAGATTATTACCTTTTTAAGTTGGAGATGTGCCAGGGATCTAGTTATATTCAATTTCTGATTGTGATATCTGTAGATAAGTTTTTCAGATCATTTGACATCAAAACTATTAATAGATTTAAAATGTCTGTGTAATGAGTAGATTTCAGGTGTGCGTGACACGGAATTTTTGTTGCCTAATATCTTCATATTATTCATAAATATTTGCTTTAAACACTTAACTCCCTATCTTTATGCACATGATTGAAGAATTCTGAAAGTATTTACGTCAATAAAAGACTCAGTATTTGCAGTCCAATTCAGAAAACTGTGGTGTAAAATAAAAGGAATGACAATGAATCCTCATGTGGTTCCGTGGTAGAGCCATGCTGCAGCTATATTACTGATATAGTTGTAGCACGGATGGTTCGCCTTGACCGGGGAAGGACAACGCTCTCACAGAATACCAGCGTAGAATAGCAGCTTAACACTGCTGTGTTTCGTATGGTGAGTGTAGAGAACCGGAGACTCTTTTTACTAGAAACGAGGTATTCAATCTTAGTCCACACGGGTGAAAACGCATCTGCATTTTGATTCGTAGTTGAGGATAGATATAGATGTCTATGGGCCACATCAACCAGTTACCATCAGGTGGACTGTGTGCACGTTTTTTACTCTTATCCTATAAAAAAATGTCTTCATATAAAATTTACATGAAAAGTGATATTCCTACATCATATAAAATCTCCTTTAGATTACTTTAAAATAACTTGAAAAAAGATTCGTCGTTGTAATTTTTGAAAAAAAAAAAACAATCATTCGTATCCCAAATGGATGCTGTAACAAACAGAGTGCTAGGTTTCTTATTACATTATGTTAAAAAGTTTTGTAAGCTGTAAACGTAGATTGTCTAATTTGATCACCTAAATTTAAGTTTTAGTGAAGTTTAATTAATTGATGTTTTCGAAAAAAAAATGTTTTTTAAATAAATTATATGCCAATTCACAGGAATATATGCAAATAACTTTGAAAGGTTTGGTTGTAGTAGCGCACTTATTAATTATAATTATTATTTGGAGTATTATAAAGTCGTTCCTAATTCCTACTACTGTTCGCACCGGTGGTTGAAAGCACTAACTGCCGACGCATGCGCAATGGCTTTAAAAACGCGGACAGCTGGCAATTGCCATCCTTGTCTAACGAATGATGTAGCGCACTAATTATTTTTCACTTTAATCTATTTTTAACAGCTGCTTACCCTTATTTGCAGCCATTTTAACATAGGCAACCGTATTCAATCGTGCTCAGAAATAAAAATAGCTTCAATCTCATACATAAATAATGAATATACCTACGTCATGAACGTATTACTGTAACAAACTATTACATGTTTATACCTGGCTGCGGAGAGGTTGTGGCCAAGTGTGCTACTGCAACCAAACTTTTCCAAGTTCTTTACATAATATATTCCTGTGCAATGGTATATAATTTATTTAAAAAACTAGTGAATGAATTTTTTTCGAAAACATCAATCAATACCTATTATTTTAATTAAAAATACTTGCGGCCACATTTTGACAGGCACCCTAGCAAAAATGTATTCCCCCACTTATATTTATATTTTAATATTAGATTTTGATTAAAAACTACATGAACGTAGTAATCTTGCATCCGGATCTTAGACTATCATTCATAAATTTCTGACGCGTACTATTTTACGCAAGCACACATTCGTAAGGGTCGCTCGGTAAGGTACCTTGTCGCGCATCTCCCTTTCGCTTTCCTTCAATTTACCGTTACACCGCTAAGTACTTACGTCCGCTCGCCCGGCAGACAGCTGATAGTGTTGACCGTGACCTCATTACGTACGAACTAATATGTACCAATGACGTAACGAAAATATTCGAACCGCGGATACTTGTACAATTGTGCGATATTATGTTTTATGCAATGAAAGTTTACGTAGTGTGCAAATATTATACGAAAGTGAGTTTTTACAGCGGCAAGAAATTAACGTAAGTGTCCAATCGAAGAACAATTGACAGCTAATCAAACTATTCAAGTTCAGTGAGCGATAACTTAAATAGTGAATATGAAGATAGACGGATTGCGTACGGAGGCCCTATACTATGGTCTGCAAACCCGCTGGAACGTTCACCGTTAGTCTTTTATCTGTGTATAAAGAGTCGTGTTTACGTCAATGACGCCCAAAGTTTTGAAGACCGGCACAATAAAATTATTGCTGCGTTCACGGAAGTTAAAAGTGTTCAAGAAGAGGTAATAAGTGTAAAAATTATTTTAGGAAAACGTAGACGAGTACGCATGCATAAAAGTATGCATAAAAAATGTTCGCCCATTCAGTAATCTTTGGTAGAACTCGGCTGCACGGGAGCAATCGGTTCAATTTTTTTTGCCTCGCCAGTCGAACCGATCATCCGACGCCGTCAGCCCGCTCGTTCGCGCTGCGATCCGCTACTTTGAATTTACGTTGTGGATAAACGGTTATTTAATATGTGCGTTGTTAGTTATTCACATCCCCACAAGATAAACTGATTCCAATTTGAGGTACCAATGTTAGATATTGGAGCTACTTGACTACTGGACGTATATAGTTAATTCCAATTTTTTAAATACGCCATAATAAGGATAGCCGTCGGTTACGTAGTTGATAAGCAAATATGTATATTTTTTTTATTACGATGATCCTAAGCCCGTTAAAAGGGTAAAAGGAAAATTGGAATCATAATTCGCGTCATGTAGTTATTATCTTAAGCATTAGTAGTAAGCGTGTCACTAAGAAAGTAAACAGTAGGGAAAAACTTGAGAAACGAAAACGTGAATTGAATCACATACACAGGAGATATGAAAATCACATTCAATTTGGGATAATTTCAATTAAAAGTACGAGCTTTATATACTCGTATTTTCAAAAAATGTAATTTTGGTATCTAATAATTTATTTATTTGAACTTCAAATATAAAATTTGGCTACTCTTTGAAAAATAACCTCTGTATAGGATAATTTGAAAATTCGTCTCGCGAAAATGTTCCAGACGCAGATCCATTTTCCAATGAAAAACGGTATTTCAAGTATTTAAATGCGTATATGTGTGTAGTATATCTCTTGTATGGTTAGTTAAAGGGGTTGTTTTTTAATAAACTGCAGTGACAGTCCAACTGATAGTGGCTACTGTAATCCATGGAAATTGGAAAAATAAAAAAATTCTGGCACTAGCTATAGCTATAGTGTTTTTATTTCAAAATATTTTGTATATACCTACCGCTTTATATAATCAAGACATTTATAATTAATTCATTTAAATTATATTAATTACGCACTCTTTTTATTTAGTAAACTGTTTGCACCAAATCATCCCGGATTATCTCGTAGACAATGTCAAGTATGACATTAAGTCTGTTATTTGTGACCATTAATAAAAGATGAATATGAGAATCATGGTCATAACAACGCATTAAAAATCCACTGCTGAACATATTTATATGCCATAGTTGCTTGATTTTTTGTTATTATTATTAAGATGTGATCAGGAAGATGTCGCTGTTAATCTCCTATATCAGTTTCGCTTTTTCGCCTCTTAAAACACCTACGGACTAATGTTAGTTTATTATCTTACGGTGCTACTATCCCGCAAAAAATGAAGATTTAAAAAAACATGCGTGAGTGTCGCGAAACGCACGGTTGGAGCGAAGTTCCTTTCGTAGTATATTATTATTGGCTGTGCCCGCGGCGTAGCTCGCGTATATAGGTTTTACTTAAAGAATGTGACGTTTAGTTACGTGACGTTTAGCCGGGGCGTAGGTACACAAATAGGTTATGGGTAGGCTTGCTAACTCCAAAAAAGGCATTTCCGGGATTACCCAGCTCGACATCCGGGACTTGGGTATATTACGCGGGACACAACACACCACATACAAATTGGTTAGAGAAAAAAAAATACTATAATATAATCACTTAATAAAAAAAAAACAATACAAATATTTGACAAACATTTAAAATTTTTAAATTTAATTTATTTTTCTGTTTTAAAACTGTATTTATTTTGCGATTTTGCGCATTTTAACAAGTTTTTGTTTTGCAATACTTTTGTGTCAAAGCAATCAAATTATGGAACTCGCTTCCTTTAACAATTAAAAAAAGCCCAAAGCATTGAGTCTTTCAAAAATGTGGTTAAAGATTATTATTTAAATATGTGTTCTACTTAATATACAGGGTATTTTTGGAACGCTCCCGAAAACTAAGACAGGCGACAGCACCAAGTATACCTTTGATCATGGGTCATAAATAAATTTGATCCTGATGAAAAAAAAAACATATTTTTACAACGTTTTATTAGCTTTATTCACGCGTCATCATGTTAGTACAGCTAAATGAAACGATAATTTCATAAAAAAAATCATGAAAAGACTGAAACATAAAACCAGCAGTGGAAACTGAATTGATATCACCTGACTAATGGAGGTTAATGTACGCGCCAACGGTGAAAAAAGAACGCTGGCCTTG